GTCTCCGAAATTTTTGTCATTTTATTTGAAATATACAGTAATTTTCTTTGATGAAAATGTACGAAAACGTAGTATCTATCATTACAGCAGCAAACATGTAAACTTTGTTTAATAATACCTTCGTTTGTTGTAGTTGGTGGCAGAAAAGTGAAGATATACGAACCTTAATAATTAGAAGGGAAATCCCCTCCAAAAAAATAACGGGTAGCACTTCATCGGTAGATTCTTCGAGTCGAAGTCTCTTTCGGTAAAAACCCACCAGTGGCTAAGTGGTCTTCGTACCTTGAACACGGGGAGTTCGTTCGTGGGTTCGCACCTTGCTGAGACGGGCTGGCTACGTGGAGTTTTCCGGGATTTATTCACATCTGTAACGCTTAAATAGGGGCCAGTTTCCCTTAAAAACACCTCCCAGAAGGCATTTCACCCTAGTCAGATCGCCCAAGTGTTGCGTTGCCATAACTTAACAATGAAACAAACTCTTTCCATAAGGAACAAGAAATTGATCTAAAGTTGATTGTCTTACTCTTTTAATCAAAATTTTTCTCAAATGTGATAGCGCATTGTCGTTTTCTATTGCCACTATGACTTTTTTCTTTCTTTGATACCATATTGATTAAATATATAAATCACAAAACTGAAAAAAAGAAGTATAGCACAAACACTCGGAAAAGCAATGCTTAACTCGCGCATGCCTAACACCAACTAAAATTTGACACAATATACCGTTACGTTCGTTATCCGAATTTTGTTCGTTATCTGAGACAAAATTTTTGCAAAATAAAAGTTCGTTAACCAATTTGGTCGTTAACCAGGACGTTCGTAAACCGGGGTTCCACTGTAATAATAAAAAGGAGACAACGAACAGTATATATTGTAAAAATATCTCTCAAAAAACCAAAATTCAGCTCGTAGATCAAAGAGTGAAAGGAACCAAGAGCAAGGAAAAGAGAACAAGTCACCTCCACCGTCATTTTTGATATGATGTCATCACTCAAATTTTAAGATATTCATAAATTATCTTAATTTTATTCTAAAATAAGTTCCAATTTTTGAAATTATCATCTGAAATAAATTATAAAATTATAATGTTACTAGGAACTTAACCCTCTGCCCATTGCTCACTTGTTAAAAAATTTTCTGACAATTCAACAATTCCCATGTTGCTGTTTTATTGTTTTTTGACAGAAAAACATGTCACAATGATTTTAAGTTAAATATTTTATATGTAGAATAATATAATTAAATTTTTTTACGTATTGCACAATGTAGGCAAAATCCATCATTTTGTTTACATTGTGCATACACTATACGATCTTTTTGCTTGGGCTTTTCCAATGCACTTGATTGTAATGTTAGAAAGAGCAGGCATCATTTTTACATGCAACTGTGAGTCATTTTTTTTTACTGGTTTTAGTGCAACTGTGTAACTTAGTTGTGTATGGAAACAATTTTTGGATAGACCATTAGCCATTTGCAAACAGAATGCACCAAGTGATTTGAGATTCGGCATACCAGTGATTCTATGCAGCAAAATGCTAACTAACACCTACATGTGCACATTGATGAACATGCAGTTAGCACTTTTATATTCTTGAATAAGCATGCACCAGTATGCTTATTCAAGAATATAAAAAATTTTCTTCTAATTATTACAGGGTTACTCATAAGTCTATAATTTACATATGACTTCTGTAGAAATTAAGAAAATCCAGTGATTGGCACCTCTGCTGAAATATCATGTTATATAGTACTTCTGCATAATTTTGTGTATGTTTATACAGTCAAACCAGATTGATGTTGTGGTTATTCTTGCTTTTGCTGGACATTTCAACTAATTTGTTGACTGAAATAGTTGCTTTTAAAGACAAAGTTGTGAATTTTATATATTTAAAATAAACATATTTAAAATGTTTTTCTGCATCATGTGAACAGTTGTGTCATTTTCCCTTTAAATCCTTAATTTGTACACCCCAGTGAATTTAGAAATATCAATAATACAGTAGCCATTTTACTCGTGATGTGAATTAACCCTCATTAGAATTTCATTCAAAATGATGTCATTATACTAAACATTTCTGAACTCAACACTCATTACACCAGATCTGATGCCACATTTTGTAAATGCTTGCATAATCAACATTGCACATATGCAATCATATGTTTTACCATACACATACTTTTCATTAATCTGTCCATTAATACAATATTCACAGCAAGAGTGTCCTAATAGTTTCTACAGGCAAAATTTACTTGTTTCACAAAAGCCGCTGTGTTGGTTTGTTGAACACTCACCAGTCTTTCAGGCTGTTGAGACCATTGAGTTAAACAGTGAATCAATGCTGATATCGTGGGCCTCAACAGAGAGCTCAATAGTTCATTTAGATACATTGTTTTTCTCACTATTGAATCAATTGTTGAATATAGAAACATACTGATAAAGTATGTTTCTATAAAATAAAATAAGTGTTTTGCATTAGACATATAAAGAACAGAAGCAGAATGGATAATGTATTCAATTGAAATCTAAATTATACAAGCAATTATTTATTGTGATATCATCACAATGCCTGGCTGCAATTTTTACATCATCTTTTAATTTTAAAAAAGTCATGTGACTTATGGTCTAGACCAGAAGTTCATATAGTTAATCAGGATCTGTGACTCCTATGCTTTTCATATGTGATCTAGATTTTAGTAGTGTCTTGCCCCTGTACATCATGCTTCTCCTAATATCAACAGAGTGTATCTAACCTCTTTCTCGAGAACATTTTTGAACAAAATCATGTGACTTCTGATCCAGACCAAATTCATATAGTTAATAAGCACCTCATCTCATTCATGAGCTTAAAAAAGGAATACACAAATAGACAACAATGGAAATGTACAGGTCTGCAGTTTGAAAATTAATGTACTGTATATAAAATTGTTAAATCTAATTAATGTATAAAATCAAAGGCAATAAATTTATCAATCTTGTCAACTACAAAGTAACTCTAAATCTTCTTACAGCTGGTTATATAGTAAATAACACCAACAAACCTTTAAAATTAAACCAGCAAATATATTTTTAATATACTTTGACAAGTGCTTTCGATCCTAAGTGGGATCTACTTCAGGTCAAAACATTCTATACAAAAATTTGGATGCTTAAAGAGAAATTTTAAAATTTAAAGTTGCTCTTTATTTTAAATATCTAAATATATATAAAATGCTTCTTTCTCTTATCAGAGACGATAAATATACATTTTCCATTCAAATATTTCCTTTGGCACATTTATGTTGGCACAAATTTTAAAATTCTTTTAGTTGGAATTTGACAATTTGACAAGTATAATTCTTTCAAATTTTTGAACTTTTTACTATCAAGCATTTGTTTAGATTGTTCGTGATGTTTGGAATTTACATAATTACGTAGAGTAGTTTCATGCCCTCTGGTGATACCACCAGAGGGCATAAAAAATTTTAATAAAATTATTTTAAAAAAAAAGGTTTTTAATCTATAATATATTTAACCAGTTTTTATTTATGTTTATGCTTACATTTTTATTTATACAATTTTTTGAATTGAGATAAGAGAAAGAAGATAAATAATAGTAAGACTTTTATTCTACTAAAATCAAAAATAGTTCATGTAATTTTAATATTGTTTTATCATTTTAAATAGATATACAAGAATTTTATTATGTTTCTATAACCACGTCATTCTTCCAGTTTGTAATACACAAACTTACCCTGTACAAGTGCCATATCGGGGGAAAAATGGTACATGCAAGTCATATATGTGTATTTTAAAATGTTTGTACAAATTACTTGTAAAAATGATATTTTGATGCTATATACACTATTTCTTACTTTAGTTGACTGATGAGGGGCAACAAAGCCTGAAACGTATAAAATGATACCGTATCAACTAAATAAAAGGTGGAGAATAAGCCATGTGATTGTTTTAATTTCACGATTCTAAAGAAAATATTACAACACGATTTCACAACAAACGAACAAGAAATTAACATCACTGTTTTCATTTATAAAAAGTTTTATTAACATACTAAGATCATACAAATATTTCTTTATGAAATAATAACAATTTAAAAAATGTTATAACAATATTACAAAATTTCTATAAATAAAAAAGTTGAGCTGCTTGTGTACAAAACTTAACTCCAATACGTAGGAAAAAATAGGAAGAGTGATCAGGTGTTATAAGCTCACAATAGATCTACGAAGAACATACAGTAGTTCAACATGAAATCATTTAACTCTCTTTTATATAAAATAATTTTAATTTAAAAAATTTTCTGATATGAAACATTCGTATCAAAAAATTTTATTATCAATATTACACAATTTTTTAAATTTATCGGCTAATTATGTTAAATAATTCAATAAAATAGTGAATCTGCAATGGTATTTGTGTAAAACATAAAACACAGGTACTTCCGAAAGAATGCGACCATTTTAAATTATTGAAATTACATTAATTATTTAATTTAATTTAATTAGCCTTTAATCCTTTTTATATTTAATACAATATACTTTCTACAAATACATAGTAAATAATTCTCTTGAAGGGTTATCACACAATTGAAACTGCTGTTGCCTTATCTACAACCTAAAATGTATTTCGGCCTGTGGTGTTTAATAGTCCTCATCAGTTAGATGATTATATATTATATATAAGGAAAAAAATACCATTAACCATGTTACAAGACTATATAAACATCCATAAACTTAATGATTTGGTTTATGGATGTTTCTATGAGTTTTGTAACATGTATTAATTGGTGTATTTTGCATATTTCTCAATAATAATTAACATATTTACATCAATTTAAAATGGTAGCATTCTTTTTTGGAAGACCTTGTATATTAATTTTAAATATCCATATTTTGCAATTCTTTAATAAGTATATATCAAGAAATTTATATTTATTTAAAAAAAAAAACTCAGTATTAAACTTTTTAAGAAGTCTCATATAAAAAATTTATACATAAATATTTTCAAAAAAGGTTTGAAACTTGATCTTTTATAAGTTGGGGATTTGAAAATAAAGTTTAAGTAGCCTTGAAAATGTTCATTTGTAAACATTTTCTGCGACTTCTTAAAAAGCTTAAACCTGGGTTTAAGAAATTGTAAGATCTAAAAAATTTAAATGTCGAAAATAGAAAGCAAATAATTCAAAAATTATATTACAGATTGCTTTATATATCTTGGACATACAATGCATTGCTCTCAATTGTAACTTTAAAGTTTTAAAAAGTTCTAGAATCCTTTTTTTGGTAATACACAGTTACCTTGTCACAGATTCATCAAACAATTCATTCCCTTCACTAAGAAAGTACACTGGTACTTGCTATTGTGCGTTTTTACAGCCTGCTAAGATTTGTAAAATGAGCCGTACTCACATTTACATTTATTTAAATTATTTTAAGTGTTCTTTTAATTTTTTTCTCTTTCTTAACTGTAAACACCAACAGGGCCTTTTTCCCCATGTCCATTACAGGTTGTGCCAGATCCACAGTGGGGGCAGTAGGTGACGAGTGACAGAGCCCAACATATTGAGGTTGGGCTACCCTCCAAAAGATTCCTAGGGTTGTTTGCTCAAATTCAATCTCAAATCCCTAGAGCTGTAGTCTGACACTTCAACTGCCCCAGCCATCTATTTTTAAATGCTTTTAGAACTGTTAAAAAAACAATTTCCAACCACAGATATTAAGAAATATTTAATTTACAGTTATTTCACTTTATCTTTTCAATCATTGTAATATATTTTTATTCTATTTTCTTGGAGATATAACAAAGTGACTTCCATTTAACAGTATTGTAATCAGTGTAGTTTCCATCTTATAAATAAGAATTTATTTATTACTAAAAATATTCACCTGTTTCATTAAACGTTGCCAAACTTAATCGCTTCAAGTTTCTTGTTAGAGATAATTCCGAATACAGCTTTGCTGGAGATATGGGAAACACTAAATGAAAAAAAAAATTGAATGAAATATACTAAATAAATTTATTTTTAAAATTAATGTTATATTCATACACATTGTTTTTTTTGGTATACAAAATTAAAAATAATTTTTTTCAAAATGCAAAATAAGTCGTCATCAATCACTTTAGCAGTTATTGATTTGCTGCATTGTGACAATGTCAGAATAATTAATCAATATTCTCAATTGTTATTGTAGAATTATATACAGGATATATCAGTAGGAAAGATTAGATTATTATTATATATATTAGAATATTCTCTATATAGTCGACCCCCCTATAATTACAGTCCCTATAATTACAATTCCTATAAAACTACGAAAAAATTGTGACCGGTATCCGTAAAAAACAGTAAAAGCCCCCTATAATTACCTCAAACATCATCGGGCAGCCGAACTACTTTCCCGCTGTCCGTAGCGCCACGCTACGGAGAGATTTCTATCGTCTGGACAGTATTATATAAATTATATATAAATTAGGTACTGTACATATAATTATATATTAATTATATATAAATTAGGTACTGTATATATAATTATATATTAACTTATTGTAACTTTGTTATAATTAAATATATAATTTCCGCCGTCTAGCGTGGCGCCACGCTACGGAGATTTTTACGCTAACTATCGTCTGTCAGTATGTAAATTAGGTACCGTAAGTCTAATACAGTACTGTAATTTTATACATTTCTTGTGAAAGAAACATTTCTTATTCAACGGCGATTAAAATTATTTATATTAATGATGTCTCCGAAGTTCAAGGAACTATTCGCAGAAAAATAAGTTATTAGAAATCGGCTGCTGTATGCTGAGCTGTTCCGCGACGAAAACAATGTTGAGCAATGGCGATGTCGAATGGTGACACTCGGTAAGTAACCCTACAATTTTTTGTTTATAGCGTAGTTTATACGGATTATTCCCAAAAAAAATATACGTATTTTGGAAATGTTGAGTCGGATTAGTCTAGAATCGATTAATTTTATGGAAGAAAACCTTTCAAACAGCCGTAGTCCGTAAACTTGATACGTGTCGGGTTGTGATTGGAAGGATTCATAAGAAATCGGATTCCTAAAGAATGGAACGTATCTCTATCTTATAGGGGGGTCGACTGTATATTATACACTTTCTAATATATATAAATTGCAAGGACCACTAAAGTACACATAACATATCAACACTCTCCAACAGTCTTCTCTCTCATCAGAAATGATAAAAACCATATAGATGACTCATACTCTCCAGAAGTTTATGCAGTACCTCTTCATGATGACCAAGATAACTGCTCATTAACATACATTGGAGCAACGGCCAGAGGTCTTGCCATGAGGATGAAAGAACATGAATACTCCGTAAGAAAAAAGCTGACTACTATGGTGTTAGCAACATATGTGAGTAATGAGGAAGTTCATGTCAAAGTACATAATGCTAAATTGTTACACAGAGTATCGGATAAGGAACAACTCAAGTACCTCGAATTGCTTGAGATCTATTGGGCAATTAAACAGGGAGTCACTGTTAACTTCAAGAAAACAGACACGCTTTCCACAGCATGGTGCGCCATTTTTGAACTAGATTCCAACAACAGAAACTTGCATTAAGGATAATTTAAATTATGAAGGATATTTATGTCATAATTTACGTGAAATTAATTGATTATTTGTTTGGATATGCTTGAAATATTTTACATATATTTAAATTTTAATGCAACGTATTCAAATTACATAATTAATCCTAACTTTTAAAAAACATTCTATTTTATGAGCCATTCATAGACATCTTCAGGTATCAACATCATTGATACCTGAAGATGTCTATTTCACATAGACAAAAGCGTTTGCAGTAAGAATTTTTCTGTTTTGTTATGAACTGGTGATGGTTTATTTAGTGAGTGGTATATTACAATTACCCAGTTTTTAAAATATATCATGAGAGTGTTTTTGAAGACTTCATCAAACTCAAACTTGACACTGGTGATCACATTTTAAAAGAGCACATAGAAAAGGGTGCAAAAAATGCCACTTACATGCCATCACAGATTCAAAATGAAATAATTAGCCTATGTGGTGATGTCATTAGAGATGAAATCACTACTGACGTAAAGAAAGCATGTGCTTACAGTATCCTGGCAGTGACATATCTGGGAAAAAGCAACTTTCCATTGGGGTTAAATTTTTTGACAAAGAAAAGATGATGGTTCATGAGGAATTTCTAAGTTTTGTAGAGTTGACTGACATGGATGCAAAATCTGTAGCATCTGTAATTAACAACTTTGTAGAAAAGGTAAGCCTTGATCCAGAAAAGTGCATTGGACAAGGATACAATGGGTGTTCCACTATGGCAGGAAATGATGGTGGTGTCCAGAAAATTCTTTGAGAAAAGTATACAAGAGCATTATACTTTCACTGTGCTAGTCACAAACTGAACTTAGTTGTAAATGACTTAAATGAAATAGCAGTGATATAAAATATGATCTCCACAATAAAAGAAATAATAAGATTCTTCTGAGAATCGGCCCTTCATCGAAAATGCATACTGAATATACCAATGCTCTGTGAAGCCTGTTGGTCTCAAAAGTATAAAAGAATCGTCACATTCAAGGAACATTAGGTGCAAATCATTATAGTGCTTGAAAAACTATCAACACATAGTAACAATGCAATGAGAAAAGCCGCTTTTCAAATGCATTGCACTGCTACAAAATCAGAATTCATTGTTAGTGTGTCTCATAGCAAAATATTCAGTGCTCCTGCAACCAGTGATAAATGCTTTTCAGCCAAAAAGTGTGGACTTACTTCAATATGCAAATCACTTAAAAAAAATCACAGATATCATGAGAAAGCACTGTGGAAATGTGGTTGTTGAAAGTCAGTGTTATAGTAGAGGCTGAAACAATCGCTGAACATCTTGGAACAGATTTCAATATGTGTGAATCCACCAGCACAGACTCCTAGAGAGTTTTGAAGAAGATCACTAATTATTTCATACATAGATTCATTAATAATGTCTCTGGAACAGCATTTTTCTGAGGAGAACTTGTCCACATTCTCATTGCTTACGTTGCATCCTCACGTAATGCTTGATATGATGTATGAGGACTTTTTTAAAAAAAACTACAATTTAAATGATTTCCTTCATGAAGCTGAACTTTGGTACAACCAATGGAAAGGAAAAAATGTGCCAAATGCCAAACTGAAGGAGATAGAACTAGCTGCACTAGTTAAAGAAATGCAATTGTTCTACCCATCCATAAAATGGGCACTACTTATCTCACTTGCACAGCCCTGCACAACATGCACTATCAAAAGATGCTTCAGCACCTTACGCAGGATTAAAACTTGTATACAGTCAACAATGACAGGAAATCGGCTTGTCAGTCTTTGTATGATGAGTGTGCATAAAAAGAGGGTTTTCTGGAAGCTAAAAATAAATTTGGGAAAGAAATTTTGACAAGATTTAAACAGAACTCCTGTAGGCTAGTGCTGAAATAAGATTTAGATAGGTTCGAATAGCATTGCAACTAATTACTTTTAGCGTTTTCAAATGTTCAAATAAAACCATTTTTTAATAAGTAACATTATCTTAATTTTGCCCCTCCCTGGAGAAAATCCTGACTATGCCCTTGTGTTGTGGCATTAGTTTTTGCATTAGTGCATTATTTGAAGAAAAAAAATGTTTGTTTGTTAAGTTATGGCCATGCAACACTTGGGTGATCTGCCTTCCGGGAGGTCTTTTTAAGGGGAACTGGCCCCTATTTAAGTGTTATAGACGTGGAGAAAACCTGGAAAACTCCATGTGGCCAGCCCGTCTGAGCGAGGCACGAACCCACGCCCGAACTCTCAGTGTTCAGGATACAAAGACTGCTTGGCCACTGGTGGGCACGAAGAAAAAGAATGACTCTATCAAATAATAATACAGCTATTAATTAAAGACAGTCTGCCCAAAAAGGGGCCACCATTTATTTTTCGTGTTCCAGACTTCACATTCACGGCGACAGACCTTTCTTTATAGGCTACATGCCACCAGAATTTAAAAACAGTCCTTTAAAAAACACAATTACATCCAATTAAAAAAACTTTTTAAAAAAGGAACTGGTGTTACACAGACGTCTTGCTTTCCATTCTTCCTATGGGGTGTTTCTGCTTTTATCTACTGGAATGAGCGCTGGAAAATGCNGGATTATGTTTATTATTATTATTATTATTTATTTTTTTTTTTTTTTGTAAATTTTTGTCTAATGGAGATTATTATTATTAATTAAAGACAGTCTGCCCAAAAAGGGGCCACCATTTATTTTTCGTGTGTCTGGAACACGAAAAATAAATGGTGGCCACTTTTTGGGCAGACTGTCTTTAATTAATAATAATAATCTCCATTAGACAAAAATTTACAAAAAAAAAAAAAAATAAATAATAATAATAATAATAATACAGCTTTTAACTTAACTTACCTTTACAAACTACCCTTACAAATTGCAGTGAAATTATAATTTGTATCAAAAAGGTAAATTTAAGTTAAAAATAAGTAAAATATGAGGTTTTCAAAAATGCACCTGTTGTCATTCCATATTATCACAAGAAATAGCAATGATGACTAAAACTTTAAGAAAAAAAAAAAAAAAAAAGTAAAAATTACACATTAACATTACACACACAAATAAAACAAATAAAGAAAAAATTAAATGGGAAAATCACTTCTCAAGAAGCATTACTTGTAATTCCAAGGCTTTATTAAAAGCCAAAGAATGCTTAAATATTGACCAAATTATTTCATTATTGTTGAAAATAAATGTTTATTTAACCACAAATAAATAAAAATTACTTGTTCTCTTTAAGTTTGCAGTTTATTTGGTATAAAGTAAAAAATAAGGCAACTGTTTTGAGATGGAGGGAATACGAGATTTCTTGAAAAAACTAATTTCATTTATTACTAACCATCGTCTTCCGGTGGATCTGTTGCCGATAAATGATCTACTTGATCTCTCCAAGGATTCTGCTTCTTCAATTCTTCTACAAAAGCACATATTAACTTATCCATTAAAAATGCCTGAAAAGAAAATTATGAATTACACACATTGATACAGTTAATCATTTACTCTATATAAATTTCTTCAAGGTATGTTTGAATTTTTTCCTAAAAACAAGACTAGAGTCTGGATTAGGCAAACTAGACAATTATGATTGTCCGGGGTCTGGATCTGAAAAAATTAAATTGATTTATAAACTTTTATTTCTTCATACTGTATTTGAATTTATATATTTAATCAACAAAGTGAATATAGGTATCTCCCGCTTAACACAGGATTTGATTAACCCACAAAATTAATTATGACAATTTCTTTTAACATATGGCATTTTTTTAAAGCTGGTGAAGCTGGAAAAGCTGCATTAATTAAAACAGAAGTTTTAATTAATGCAGCTTTACCAGCTGTCTTTACTTAACATAGGTATCATATTTTGATTATCTAAACCAGTGATGGGCAAACTTTTTAAAGAGCAGGCCAAAGGAAAAGAAGAAAACTTTAGGCGGGCCAATATAATTGTAACCTAGCGCTGCATCTGAAAATCCAGGTGGCGCCATAAAAACATGTGCAAGCCGTCCGCCATACTTCTTTGTCTCTCTTTCGGCTATGCTATGCACGACAAGTGGATGTTCTGTCGAGCTTTTACTCAATAAGTGTAAAACAAAATTTTGTACATGATTGTAAATAAACTTTCATGGTGAGATATAAAGCTTCGGTTATTTTTATATAATCAACGAACACTGAAGTGGTGAATCAACCACCACAGCCTGTATTCTTTTTTACTCGTCAGATTAGGAATAATGTCGTGCGGACGGATAGAACATTTCAGGGGGCCGCATCTGGCCCGCGGGCCGTAGTTTGCCCATCACTGATCTAAACCAATGAGCTTTCAGGTTTGATTTATTATCAACATCTTTAGAGTATGGATACAAGAAAGTATTGGACTGGATTGGTTGGAAAGTTATCGATATCGAATGTTATCAGCATTCAGATTTCCACATGAAATTTTATATTATCTTCTTTTAATATCATTACAAATACACATTTTCTTACTACTTGTATATGATAGTATGTGCCACTTAATGGTGTTCCACTCAATAACAGGTCCTATAAGATTATAATGAAGCAGAAATATTTGTAGCAATGTAATAGCATAAGGTGGCATCACATAATGCATTAATGCATAAACATACCTACAGCACAGTCAGTCAAATAAAAGTACATAAGGTGTGTCCAAAAAGTTTATGGAATGAAGTATTTTCAAAAAACTTCCGAACACAAATATTAAAATTTAAAGTGTCATTATAAATATAATAATACCAATATTTATAACAACAATAATAATAATAAATGATGGCAAGGCACTTGACAAAATGACTTTTGTTGATAATTAATGTTACCAAGTTGATGGATTCCCATTAAATTAATTAAGAGGTACAGTATTTTGGGAAACTGATTTTTATATCAATATTTATATAGTATTGTGTTATAAGATACTGTACATTTTTTGGAGCAGCCTAAAATTGTGAGCCTAGCAACCTTTTATATCATGCCCAAGTTCAAGTGTTCTGCTCAGGATCAATATCACACCACATTTAGTGGGAACTTGAGTTTAAACTAGTGAGAATTAGTAACAGTTGGATTACTGGAGGTATTTAACTAGCAAATGTACAGATTACAGAGATTGTACCATACATATAATATTTAAATACTTTCACAAATTTTACAGTTAAACTAGCTCAATTATACTATTCTAAATCATCGCAGATGTAAAACATTTTGTTATATTTGATTTTTGTATTATGTTTCTATGTAATTGAGAGTAAAATAGTTAAATGAAGCTTATGAAAATGTTAATAGTGAATCAATGTGTAGAAATTCCAAAAACCAACAGATAGTTTATTTTTATTATTACAATTATTAATTACTGACCTGGCGAGAAAATATCTGCAGTAGTTTAGATTCCTGTCTTCTTGTACCAGGCATATGAAACTGTATAAAAAGGCAAGGTAAACAATCTGAATTGTTGGCTTGAAGTGGACTAGCATAATCCCAAGAAAACTGCTGATAATGCAAACTTAATAAAACTACCTATAAAATATCATAAATAAGAACAATATATATATAATTTCTTAATCATTTTCATATTACAAAAAAATAACTAAATAATCTTTAAATTAATTGATTCAATTAATTTTTAAAATATCACTCTAAAATATAAGCAAGATTTATTAAAATTATTTCCAGTTTAATTTAAAATTAGTAACAATTTATTATATTTTATATATATTATTATCAAAAATTTCAACTTCTTTGCAATCAATTAAATCAGTGGCAACCAAACATTTTAAATAATAAGTAAAATTATGCATAAGTTGTATGTAGTTGGGCTACAAAATATTTTGTATATTCTATCATTTATAAGTGAAGTATCAAATATGTTTATGGGTTGGATTCAGCTTAGAGTCATAGGGTACATTCCCATACGGCCACAACTGATGCATCGGTGAACGATTTAACAAGCTTATACTGGAATATCTGGCAACCTAACAAGATGGCAGAAGCAAACAGTACTATATTGACATTTGCAGACTTATTTTGTTAAAATAACTTTGGATTAATACAGACAAATAGTAAAAATGATGATGATAATGAAATATTTTAATTAGCTGCTATTGTTGCTATGAAGAAGCCTAAAACGATTTCTCTCTATATAAAAACGTTAACGTTTCATACTCCATTTTCAAGCATAGTCTTCTACTTACTACTAGCAATATAGCCTATATGTTTCAATTAAACATATTAAAAAACTTTTTTAAATCATCAAATAATCTTATATTTAATTACAACATATGGGATTAAATAATATTACATGCTAACCATCTTATTTGATTTCTATGATTATTTTATAACGTCACTAAATATAATCTTGGAGGTGGCCATATTGCTTCATCAGAGTTCACCATATCTACAATCCGATGGGTGTGATGTGCATCGGTTGCTGTACTGGTGAACTCATCAATGAATATCGGAACACATTTTTGTACATTGAAGTTCAGCAGTGTGCTGTTTGATGCATACTAGAATGCTCCCAATGTTTGGGTGCCATCAAGCTACATAGTTACATGAAATTCTCTACTTTCATGAAAGATATGTGCCTTTTGAATCAGCAATCAGACACTTTAATGCAAAATAAACAAATGTTTTTGGCCATCTTTAGGCTAATATATAAATTGGATTTTATTTAAACATAATGAAACAAATGATAGAACACTTTATATTTAAATACAGATATTCAAATATGTTACAAGTAAAAACATGGAGACTATCTAGATAATGCATTACATTACATATCCAATTAACATTAAATTTATCCTTATTTAATACAACAATAAATAATCATTATGTTGTTATTAATGTGTCAAATTTATCCAACTCAAAATGTTCTGATAGTATAACTAGCCGACAATGCAGTTGCAAATTGAGAGAGAATTAAGAATTCAAATCTGTTTGAGATTATGTCTTCTACAAACTTTTGTAAGATAATTTCTAAAGTAGACTTTTATTAAATAAACAATAATGATCAATAATTTAGAATATTCAAAATAATCATTAAAATTATCAAAAAAGTGATATGTTTACCTATAATTTTAAAAAAGAAGAAATAAACATAAGTACCAGTAGTATCAACAAGTTCCTGGAATTTGTAGCACCAAAACTATGATTTACACTAGTGTATTATTAGTGCTGTTTAATAGTATGGAACCTTAAGCACATCCACACCCATTCAGGTTCTCATTTGACAGCAAAGGAGTATGTGGATAAATTGACCAAAAAGTGGCATAATGAATGGCTGCTCACCGTGACAATGCTCCAAGTCAAAAACCTGTGGCAGGAACAAATTTTCTGGTGACAGAAAGCATTGTCCCATAGTTGCCATATTCCTGATATCTTGCAGCTTGTGACTACTGATTGTTCCTTAAAACAAAATCAGAATTTCAAGATAAGTATTTTCCAATGACATGACATCAAACTCATTGTGATAGCCTATCTGCATAGAATTCCTAAAAAAGCCTTTCAGCAATACTTTGAAGAATGGCAGAATTACTGAAACAAAGCAAGTATGTTTGTTCCCAAGGACGGTACTTTGATAGTGACTAAGTTGCCTTGTGTGGAAGTTCAGGTATATGCTGTTTATGGTCTGATTATGGATACTTTTTGATACTACTGGTATATCATATTGAAATTTCTCAATACAAATCTTCAGTAAGTGGAAACAGATACATTTTGAAACATTAATTACACATATACAATTTTATTTTGATATGCTTTAATTTTGGTACAAATGTAGCACTGAAGATATAGCAATATAATACACAGATATATCTTGGAAGTAGTTGGTGCAACAAAGCTTGTGTTCTACAAGCTTTAAGCCATCTCTAGTAAAGTGGAAAACATTTGATTTTTAGTATTGTTTTGAGAAATATTTCCAGATTTTTCCATTTCTAAATTTTACCTCAGTTTTTAGGGTCTTCAAAATTCCAGATAGGGTGATTTTGGGGGTTATCTCGCAAAGGGTCACATAAACCATTGATTCCTTAGAACTTGTTTTTACTGCTGTGGGCATGATCTAGTTCTGATAAGGTTCCAACTACCTAATTCAGAGTTACATTTGTACCTTAGTTAGGATAAACTATAATTTCTTACTTTAATACTAAAATTCTTGATTCTGTATCAATCTCCTACTTACAGCTTCATTATGTTTAATCAAATGAATTCCTTCTCTGTTGATAGCAATTAATATTGGCATGTCATAATGATTAATTAATGCTGATATACCTTTCACCGATCTTTCCACTTGTCCTTGAAAAAATGCACTCCTGTAATCACAAAAAAGAATAATATATTGATTTTATGTACAGTATTTGTTATTGATATTGCAATTACAAAATTATATAAAAAGAAAATAAAATTCTTTTACATAAATCGTGTTTACTTTTATTCAAATAATTTTCTTAAATGTTTAATTAATAACACTTTGTATATCATTAATTAACAAAATAATACACATTAATGCATTTTTACTATAAGTAATTGAATCATTTATATGAATCATACCCATAATAAGGAAGGGCCCAACAAAATTCTAAATATTTTCTTAAAAGTTTGTATGTTGTCGTATTAGATGATATATTTTTATACTTTTCGATTATTCTATGTTCTGGGCCAGTTTTTGAACCAAAACCAAAGAACGACCATCCTCTTTTGCAGGCGTGAGCAGGAAGATAATCTTGTAGTCTCGTTCTATAATAGAAATAAATAAATATAAAACATTGAACTTTTTTGGTCAATTTAGAGGCCTCCCTTGAGTTTTAAACCAATACAGTTCAAATGTTTAAACTGAGAGTTCCAAAGAAGTAATGTTCTTACAAATTGCTTTCATATTAGATTTCAAATTCAGTTTTATCTCCTGTATTTAAACTCAAAGCACTGTAACAACAGAAAAATGTTTCAACAATTTGTTAGCTACATACACAGCCTAAAGATGTGATTTATTGCAACTTTTATAACATATTGGTTATGTTGCCTGGTAAAGTGGCTTTAACAGATGTAAGCAAACCAATGACATGACCCATTTCAAATGAAACAGGCTATGTCTTTGGGTTGCTTATCCAGCTGTATTAAAGATGCTTTACTAGTCCTATATCAATAATTCATACTAATATAATAATAAATGTTTGAACACCACATAATTATTTTATAATTTTCATAACTATGCAAAAATAATCAGCTAAAAAAATTAATTAAGATGAAATTCTGCACTATTATAGTGTAAGTCAAAACATTAAAGGATCAAAACTCAAAAAATTACCTAAAATAATTAGGTGTGTGTATATGAATATCAAATGCACCTAATTCAAGACGTGCTTGAATTCCAGCTAACACTTCGCAATCTTCTATTTCACAAGGATATCTTCCATCTAGAATATTTGCTTTGGCTTCCTCGTACAATAGTTCCATTATTTTCATGTCATCAATCTATTTAATATAAAAAAAATATTTTTTAATATTTACTCATAAGGAATAAATTATCTTGGTTAAGAGTATTAATTTATAAACAAGTTGAATCATATCTAATGATTCAGCATGGCATACATACATGCATAAATTTCTAAACAAATACAATGTACCCAAAAAGTCACTTGCAAAATGAGGGAAATCACTGTATCCTGGGAAATACTACTATTGATCCAAACTTCTTTGAAAATAATGCTAACCAACACACATATGGGAACATGCTGGATCACAGTGATCCAGCATATAGTTGTAAAGATATTTGGTTAAAATACACTCAAGTCTGAAAAATAAGCATAATATTAAGTTGGTCTGTACAAGTCTGGACTGTAAAGTGGACAAGGTAGAATATTCTGGTCTGGATTGACTGGCTTCACTCTATGTTCCAGCATATTGTTGCGATGGTATTGAACAATTTTTGTAGTGTACGGGAACACTGAGTGTTCCCGTACACTACAAAAATTGTCCAATACCATCTGGTGGTTAATCATGGATTACCATCTATCAGGAGAATGTCATTATCAATGGTGAAATTGCTGCCTGGACAGAGTTCATCTTCAAGTGAGAAATTGCCATTCTCAAATTTCTCAAACCAATTGTAGCAGGTCTATCTGTTGATTGTGTCCTCACCAAATGTCTTGCAGATGAGACCATGAGGTCTCATTGCATTCTGGCCACTTTTGAAGCAATAGAACAATGACACGTGAATGTGTTCTTTTGAAAGTGACTTAGGTCTAGAGATCTTACTAGCTATTCTACATGAAAAATATATTCACTGTCAAGAAAATCACTGATAAGTGAATCCCTATGTAAACAAGCATTACCATCCACAAAAATAAAATCTGCATTCATCATCTCAGAAACATCTCATATGGTGTTCCAAAACTTTGTCTCCATATCTTCTTGCAGTAATCATATAATGGCACCTCTTGCAAAAATGTGGAGTGCAGCCATTAAGCATGCCACCACCACTAGAATGAATATCATGCAGGTAGTGGCATCATTATGCACATTTATTTTGTTGGATAAATAATTATTCAATAATACTTACTCTTATTTCTTCTCTTCTATCAAAAAATACATTACGTTGAAAAGATAATATTGGTTCATCTGAAAATATTAAAAGTAATTAGAAGAATAGAGATATTTTAATTATAAAAATCACCATATTAATTAATATGGTGATTGCACATATTAATTAATAATTAAAAAAATATATCAGTCAAGTAAATATCTACTTTTTAATAAAGACAACTATCAAATTAAAAATAAATATCAAAAATAATTCAAATAGTAATTATAATCTTAAAAATTTTGTATAAACATATGAAATCTTCAGCACATTGTACTTTTGTCACAAAATCAATTATTTAATAAAAAAAACATTCCTGCAACTTTAATATCATCATTGTGACAGCCAGACGGTCAAGTTAAGGCACCGGCCTACCGTTCTAGAGAGGTCATAATCAAATTTGGGCAGTCAAAAATCCCCAGGAATTTTTCATGAGTGGTCCATTCCAGATATGTTAAGTCCCATCCTTCATCACCCTTGTTGCTCCTCACTATGAGCATAGCCAAATCCACAAATATGTATGGAAAAAACATCCTCTTAGTGCCCACAAGGCAGAAAGAAAATATATATTTATTTTCTTATAAAACAGTAATGATATTAAAAGTGGTAAAGATCATTTTAGTATAAATATTAATGTAACTGAATCATTTTATTTCTAGCAATTCTTTTAATTGTAAAAATACATTGCAGAATGTTTGTCAGAACTACATTAATTCATATCATATAGAAAAAGAACTGACCAAAAATATTTCAAATCTTCCGCTGTATATTTTTTAATGTAAAATACCTTTCTATAGATAAAAACATAACATTTTTTATTACAGCACAATAATCTTAATTAAATGAATGAATGTTTTTGACCATCATTTAATAATCATCTTTAGATCATGGATCAAAAACATAACATTTTTTATTACAGCACAATAATCTTAATTAAATGAATGAATGTTTTTGACCATCATTTAATAATCATCTTTAGATCATGGATCAAATATACAGAATAGAATAAAATTCCACAGAATAAAATATTAAAACATATAACTATTTTTTTTTTATTTGGAACTTTATACATTCATACATTTTTTGATGAAATTAAATCATAATTTAAATTATAAAACTATTCTATTCTAAAAAATTTGAATTATTAAAAAAAACTAGCTTTTATTTTACTAACACATGGATACATTATAGGCTTTTGTGGATGGTCCTGAACTTCAATGGGATCAACCAACATGCATAAAAGATAGAGAGCATTGCTACTATTCTATGCATCCTATGCTCTACTAGTGATGATAAATTATTGTAATCTGGGTATAATTCAAATCAAATAATGTTGTCAGATGCATTCTGAGTGGAAGAAATGGCACTTGGAGTGTTAGATCTGGCAGGACTGACCCTGTTTGTAATGAACTCAATTGTAGAATTTACTTACAAAAATTTAACAACCTAAAGATTAAAATTATTATTTACTTTTTGTGCATCCTGTAAGATAATATAACAACCAACAACACTTGACCAATTGTTATTATATAAACAACAACAGCAATGTTAAATGTTCAAGAACTGAAAATTCAATTATTGATTTTTACAATTTATAGATAATAGTATTTAATTTCCAAATAAAACTAAAGGTCAGTTTATAGTCTGATGACTAGCTGTTGCTGAAGTTGATAAGAACTTTGTCTAGTTTATAGTCATACCCTAGCCAGCAGCTAACTTGGCATGACTTGTCATTGGCAACAACATTCAAAGTCAAACATCATTCTACTTTGGAGTTGGGTTGGTAGACCAATGCATGTCTATAGTTTGATAGGCAGCAGTGTGAGGGCAGCGAACATATCAGAACTTTGCCAACCCTGCTGTCACTGCACTGCACTACTGTTGAATCATAAACTGATCCTAACTCTCATCAAAAATTTCTTTGTTCTTAAAACTGAAAAATAAAAGTAGTTCCAGTCTTCCACAAACCAAGCAAGTAAATAAAATAACAAACACATTAACCTTATGGTTCTCCCAGCAGGATGGCAAAAAAATTAACATCAAATAAATGCTTTCAGTCTACTTCTAAACAACATGATCACCATATTGAATCAGGCTACTTTACCACTAATATTATTAATTAATTTCTAAGTAATTTGGTACTAGAGGTAGGCATTAGGCACCATCTCTTATTTAATTTAATAATTATAATTAAATTAATATTTACTAAATAATTTAGAATATTCTGGAAGAAAAGAATCGTCCAGAGCAGGACTCAAACCCACAACTCCTGCTTACTGTGTAGATGCGTTGCCAGTACTTCCAAGATTGAAAGCATTTGTTTTGTGTCAATTTTTCAACCATCCATCTAGGAGAAACATAAGGTTTGTTAATGAAAGTAGTCTTAATGTAATGAGAAGGAGTTTATATGCAGCAGTTATCACTTTGGCTAATAATAATAGATGTTTACTGTCCTGGATTTATGTAATACATCAGGCTGATGACAGAAAAATGTTAAAGATTATAACATGTGTGCTATTTGGTCATCTAAGAATTATGTAGATCTCACAAAGAATGTTAGTTCAGCCTTTTTTGTATACTGTTCTAGTTTTTTTAAGAAGTTAGTCCCTTCTTTATCAATTTTCACATATAAGTACTATATATCAAATATCCCAAAGCCTGATAAATATATATAGATAACCAAACAATCACCTTAAATATATAATATATATTGCTCACACAATTGCATTACATCTCTGTTTTGACTACAGATGTAAGGTCAACCAACAATATTAATTTAAAAACATTTTATTGATAACATTTCTTTAATTAAGTTAGAAAATTGATGACATTAAATGAAATTAAGAATAATTACCCATTTCAATTTTTTGACCATTAGCTGTAGTATACTTCCTCAGCAATTCTGTCCACTGTTGACGAATACAAAATGGTTTTTGATGAGGTTTCAATTGTAATTCTGAAAAATTATTTATATTTTAAAAATATAAATTACAATGTTATAACATTGTTTTCAATATTGAATTTAATATTAGAATATATTAATTCCATTATTTCATAATTAATTCCATATTAAAGATAATGTTATGACAGCTTATGACTGTTGTTTGTATAAAAGAAACATTATGATTTTTGATTATTTATAAATAGCAAATTTTCCGTCGAGTTAATAAATTTTACCTAAAAGAGGAGACGTGATCCATAATGAAAATATTTCTCTCGCTTTTACTGGAAGTCCAACTTCTTGATCATCTTCAAAAATTACATCTAATAAATTCTGAGCAGTCACTTGTTGTATTCTTTCAACGTCTAAGCAGAGTCCAACTTTGTTCATTAGGAAAACACAAACTTGTCCTTAATAAAATAAGCATGTTATAGTTCTTTATGTATTGATATTAATATAATCAAAGAGTATTAAATAGTAGCATTACTTTTGTTCTGTGTTCTGCTACTTCCATCATTCCATTCTGAAGAACTGCTGCTGGATGGGTAGCACGAGTGAAAAGAACGGTTAACAGAAGGTTGATGAGGAATGTGCTCGGTATGTAACGATCTGTAACTGGATGCAAGTCTGTGTGGTGTATCGCATTCTGATAACCTTGATTCGTCCGATTGTCTCATATGCCCTAAAATAATACAAAATATTTCACAAAGATAAAAATTATAATTCTTGTATATTAAATGTTTATCAAATAGTTTTGAAATGTTTCATCTAAAAATTGTGATTTCACAATCTTATAAAAAGAAATAAAAATAGTTTAAGTCAAAAAATTTAATTTGTTCAGTGGCAAAAATTTTTAAGCTCCCCTTTCATCTGCTCAAAAATAAAAATAAAAACAAATACACTGGAAAGAATAATGACATTCACATTCACTCAAATTGCAAACAATTGAATTCAGTGATATAATTAATTTTGAGATCATCTTCAAAATATTTCAGGATCCACCAATTTCAGAAAAATGGAAATCATAACTTTTTGTACAATATAAACAGATTATCGAAAAATTTACTTGATAACCAGCAATTATTTATCGTGACGTCGCAATGTCAGGCTGCAATTTTTAATCATATTTTTAATTTATTTAATTTAAAATATATTCTGTGTACCTCAAATGTGTCTGTGTAGTGGCTTGTCCCTTTACATCATACTTTTCCTTTAACAATAGAGTTGTGCCAATCATCTATCTAACACCTTTTGAGGGGAAATTTTTGAATTGAAATAAAGTTTGCATTGGAAGTTTGCATACAGTTAATGGGGCCTCCTGCTCTTAAGCTTTCCATATCTGGTCTCAGCTTTCATCTAACTAACTCCATTCTTGAGATTAATGAAAGAGAGACAGATAACGAACAGACGATAGTAGAAATTTAAAGGTCTACAATTTTTTCAAATTGCAGCCCAATAATATATGTCATTTTCAAAATAATTGTGTAAACTTTTAACATGTAGTCCTTGTAGCCCCAAAGTCCCTTGCTTTTCAGGATTCTGCAGAACACTTCGAATATGACTTTGAACAAAGTTAATTACAACGTGACTTCTTTAGTGCAGGATTCACTATAGTTCAACTTATAATTCAATTAATGCATAATGATTCACTATAATGTAGTCTATAATGTACGAAAATACTTGTAATTATAATTTTAAAATTAAATTTTAACAAAAATTTTCATATGACTCATGATTAGGGCTTATTCAAGTAGTATAGTAGCTTTCTTAAACATATTAAACAGGATATTCCTGCATAAGGTACTCTCTCAGTTAACATGCATCCATGGGGATTGCCCACGCAGGATAGATGTAAATGCTGGATAAATGTAATTTCTAGTTGCTTGAGTATTATTATTATTAAAAATAGGCCATCTAATATTACACCCCATACTATACCATAAACTTTGTATTGACATGATATTAATATTGAAATACAGTAGTTAGAACCAAATTAAGGCAAAGTTAAGTTAACATAACACAGTTCCGAGGCCCTGAAATCCAGAGACCTAGCGAGATAGACACAATCAGCAAAGATTCTTCCAAAAACTGCAGTCCAAAAGCCAGAACATATGCAAGTGAGCATTAATGGCATCTACTGCAAACTGGAAACAAAAGACAATTTACAGATATCTTATGAAAGTACTGTATGTATAACTTTGATGTCATTACAAATTTCTTACTGCACAGTAACTTTTCATATGTAGATATACTTAACCATAGAAAAACAACTGTAAGACTACAGAAATTTAATTTACCTACTAGAAATAATCAAAATATTTATTAAAGCTAACTGTTCTTGAAACTATTCCAACATTTGTTTTTAAATATCTTGTCAAGTAGACCTAATGAAGATGATGTAGAAGAATCAGTTTTTCTGCAGGGGGTCAGTCAGCAGTAGGCAATTTTTACAAATTTGTCTGGAGTCCCAAATAGAAACAGACCTGAAGGTAAGCTACTGTCCCAGCTCCAGATTGGCTCTAGTAGAGCTAGAGAATCCCTTAAAAAAGAGATGATGATCAAAAAGATAGTTTATGAGTTGTTGTTTTCATCTGGACTTCAACAGTGAAGCTTCGACCAAACTTCAAAAAGAATAGTTTTCATCCAGACCAATAGAAACAGAGCACTATAGACTCATCTGCTGGTACAATCCACATAGAAAATAAAAAACTGTCAAACAAACTCAGGTAGAGGTGTCTTCCTACAAACCAGTCATGTTTTCTTAAGCAGAAGAAAAAATCATCCAATTAAGACTGTTTCAAATGGATCTATTTGTGAACTTTACTTACCTCTTCCACTTTAACTACAATTAAGGCTGAGTAATGGCATGCTACATAATACTAATGCGATCAAAAAATAAAATTATTACCTGCTATACTCGATGCATCAGATGAACATGAATATTCCACTGGAATAACAGTAACATAACTATGAGGAGAATAATCATAATAAGGTTCTCGTTTTATTCCTGATATATCTTGCATCTCGCTAACTACAATATTACAATTAAAAAAAAAAACAAAATCAGTTATTTCTTCAAATAAATAAATTTAAATTTCAAGTCAATTAACAATTTCTGAATTTATAACACTAAATCTAAATTATTTAATAACTGAAAAGCAATCAAGTAAATAGCAGTTACAATGTAATGTAACTGTAATTGCTCAACACTACTTATTCATCAAATTTCTCACCATTAAAAGATATTAAATTAAAATTATCTAGTCATTAGTGAGTAACAAAATCCTATTTTATTGCAGAGTTAAATTAAAATCTAACAAATCTTGAGTTCTTTAAAGCCTGTTAAATCATCATAAGAAATGTTTACTTAATGAAGAATAATCTAAACTCAAAATTAGAACACTAACAGCCACACTAACCAGTAAGCATTCATGTACTAAAAATAAAGTGATTGGTTAACTTGTAACTCTAGATCCTCGGTTGCAAATATGGCTGCAAAAGTATTCAATTTTAATGTTCTAATTTTGATTTATATCTACAATAAAACAGGACCTTACTAATTATAGAAATTGGAGATTAGTCTTCACTTTATATTTAGCTATTATTTGATTATAATTAAATGCCATCCATTAATTACATGTACAGTTTAAGGGAAAAGGGTCATAAAAACTATACCATTGTACATGATGGTAAATAAGAGGGTCAAGGAATTGTAACACTAAAATAAGTCTATGTAGATTTATTTTAGTGTTATTAGCAATACATTTGTTCTTATAAGCCTAATTACTAGTTGTGAATAAATTTTCAGTTGGAGAATATTTGCAGAACATTTTTACATAATTTATTCGCTGTCAGGTGTATATAAACAGTCGTACACATAATTAAAGGGAAGGAAAGTATTGTTTATCCTCTCTACTTTCACTTAAAAAAGTACATCATTGTAAGCAGCAGGAAAGGAGGTCAAAAGTGACTCAAAAAGCATACACATAATTAATGGATAGCTCCTTACAAATATTGAGATATTTATAAATATACTTTTTAAATGGCCTACAAAAGTTTTACATAAAATACATAAACAACTGTGACTTTTCTACAAGTTAAAAAACTTTGATAATTTTTATGGAGACATTTATCATATGACATCCTATCTATAAAATATTTTTGATAGTAAAAATACTACATAATTTTATGCAAAATATGTGCACAAAAATTTTGCATAATTTGCTTAATTATAAGCACTACACATAGAACAAATATCCAGCAAGAAACTTGCTGGATATTTTGTTTTATATTTTTTATATGTAGTGCTTATTTACATATATTCAGTTTAAATAGTTAAATTTTTTGTATATTTTATATACAATTCTACAGATTAAATTATGAATCATTTCACTTAAAATTATCAGTTATAGCCAGCCTATTATAGCTATTATTTTCATTATGGAGGTATTATTAATGAAAAGAATATCTGCAAAATGCAATTAATAGTATTAATAATTTTTGATTAAGAAAAATATAGCATGATACGAGTTAAAGAAGAATGTCTACTGCTTTTTTAATTACAGACACTCCTCGACTTACAATATTTCGCAAATACGACTGATGCGAGTGAAGTGGAAGCATGGAAAAACAATTAGAATTTGAATTTGAGCTGCTCTACCAATGCATTAACTAACTTTTTTCAGACTTTTTTAATATACAGTAGAGCCTCAATTATCCGACTCAATTGGGGACTGGGGTTGGTCGGATAATTGAAAAGTCGGATAACCGAAAAGTATGAAAAAATCCATTATTAGTGTAGTATATTATTATATCCCATGTAATTAGTATATTAGTATATCGCTATTAACCTACTTTGCGTTGAATTTTCATCGATGTTAAGCCTAACAAAAATTTTTTAAAATAATAATCGTCGCTATTGTATCGTTAAAAATTAGAAAATTAAGCCTCGTTTAAATACTGGCTCCCTTTCATGGTCGAATGAGTGTTGCCAGCTAAAACACGTAAAAATAATATTAAAGTAGCCAAGACATAGCCAAATATTGTAGTGCCACATCACTACCGGAGATTTGAAATTTGCCGACTAGGACGGTCGGTTAACCGAGGTGACGGTTAATCGGGGGTCGGATAATTGAGGCTCTACTGTATACCATCTTATATCTTCTTGTGTTTTACAGTATACCCAGAGCCGTAACTAGGATTTTGGACGCCTATGGCCAAGAATAAAAATGGCGCCTTTTTAATTTTTATTACAAAAAAAATAATAATTTTATTCTAAAAAAATGCTATTATAAAAAAATTATCTAATGACATTTAAATATAAATATAAAAATTTTTTTGTTATTAATTTCAAATGCATATTATTTTGAAACCTTCTTGTTGGTGCCTTTATTAAATCGTCGTCTATGGTGAGGGCCACTTTGGCCATACCCTAGTTATGGCTCTGAGTATACCCATTATGTCTGCAAAACCCCTTGGCGTGTCTCTTGCTGCCAATGAAGAGAGGAAGGCTATTACTCTCAATGAGAAACTTCAGATAATATCTAAGCACAGCATTTATGGCAACTGCTCGTGAGTTTGAGCCATTGCAATCGACGATAGACCAAACTCACATTATGTATTATATAACCTTACATATAGTCCATTTTTTATTTTCGACTTACGATATGTTTTTTGAAACATAACCCCATCATAAGTCAAGGAGAGACTGTACTTAAGAGATAATTAGGTAAAATGTGACAAGTGGTTCCAGGGCAATTCGAGTCAAAAATGGGTACTTTTGCACGAACCAGTACCACTGCCTATTCTCCACAATCCACGTCAGTCAAGTCTTGCCTTGATCTCTGCTACTTACGAAGTCACTTGCCAAGGTGCAAACAACAGCAAGCATCTCGGCACACAGGTGGGAGCAAACCTCTCACACTCTTAACTATAGAACATCGAGTATTCTACAAACAGTCAAACGAGTTACTCGAAGCAGGCTTAGTCACACGAGTGTCTAGCTCGTGTGACTAAGCCTGCTTCGAAACACAGATGCTAATCTCGTTGGGAAAAAAAACACGCAAAAGCACACTTCCCTGTTCCAAATCGCACCACTCGTCACATTTCGCCTACTTACCAAGTAATTTTAAAAAACACTACAAATCCTTTCCTTAACTCGCCTCTATAGCTTTTTGTCAAGAGTATTATTGATTCTATTAATTGGCAAGTTTCTTGAGAATTTCTGTTTTATGCAATCTCTCCAGAAACTTGTCACAAAAATATAGAAGTTAGAAATTATTTTTAGATCATTAGGTGCGATCATTTATTTATATAAGCACGCATATGCAGACAGACACACAGACAGATAATCTAAAATTAACTTCTACCAGATATGATTCTAGATTTAATGCTTAAAAAAGTAATTCATAATTCCTTTACCTAATTTATTTTTGGTTTATCTTTTTTTTAAATATTTGAAATATTTTAAAAGTTCAGAAATTGATTGTTTTCAAATCAAGAAGCCAGTCATTGCACTCACGTTATTTACATTTCTGTTTCGGCTTAAGTGTTGCCATCTGGATAATTTTCTACGTTTCTTCTGCAGTTATTTATTATACTGTATTACTTTTTTTAACAAAATACAAATTGCTAAAAATATAGTCAGCGAACTAACTTCTGTGTCAAATGCCAAACGTAAATGTAATAAATTTCAATCAATACACAATCAAAATTATCGATTTTAAAGAGTTTTGCATTCGCTTATCGGCTAATGATAACATTTTGAGTGATAATGGATGATAGATGTTTACGTATATAAACTAGAAACTAGATATCTCGCGATATCTGAAAATTAAAAACATGCAAAAAATAAATATTGCTTTCCGTAATGTAGTTTTTTATTTTTTCTTCTCCTAAGAGAGACACATCAAGCCCATGGCGGATTCCGCCAGCCAACAATGGTTTGTTCGGATGATGAGAAATGGTGTCCTCCTCCGAATCGAATCCGTAAAAATTCCCGACGTTTTTCGATCACCCGGATTCGATCCCGGATCACCCAAAGCGGTGAGCTGACACCGCCTCGATCATCCCGCCGTCAACCAGTGATAGATGTGATTAAAAGGTTCTCTCTCTTATTCACAGAGCGGAAAGAGTCAAAAATTTAACATTGAATTCAATGTTAAAAAATCTATTTAACATTGAATTTAAAATATATTTTAAACGGAAGTTATTTGTATTCAGTCATAAATTTCATCTGGCAACACTGCTACAGACAATAGTAATGGAACCATGGAGGAGAAGTTACGCTTGTTTCGCCTTCAGAAGAATTTGGAATCTGCTTCCACGTCACAAGTAAGAGACTATTCAGTTATTTAAAGATTTGGTTAAACTACAAATATGTTTTAATTTCTTTTCATAAACTAAATACGATTATTAAATCAAGGGTTCACTGAAACTACCCAACGACGCGTCTGTTTTTTTACGTGGACGTTGTAGTGTGACGCAATTGTTTACGTACGGTACATGTAACACGTGATTCTCATCATATACACGTGTGAAGTAATGCTCAAATAACTCATGATGAACCTTGAAAATATATACTGTTTGTTGTCATTAAATATAAACTTGTTTTTTTCAGTTTGAGAGACATTTTTTAATCAAGTTATTCATCAACAATGCTCTAAAAACTTAAACAGTTACAGATTTCCTTTGTTATCCGAAAGTAGTGAATTTGCTACGAAACCTATTGTAAGCCAAAATGGTGTAAAGTGAAGAAGCAATAATCATTAATTTGTATGGGAAAAGTTTTTGAGCTTTCCAGATCCAAAATAAAATAAAATACGTCTTAAGGTGCTTTTTGCACCTTATTTTACTAAAAGATGTACAAAAATACATCGAGATAGAATAGATGCTTGTAGATACAGTTGAAACCAAATTATTGCTGGATTAAATTGGGCAGTTGTTCGATTTTAATATAACTCCCGGTTTGTAGATGTTTATATTTGTATAGATACAGTTGAAAGCAATGGTGCCTGTAGACTATACAAAAGAGGAAGGCACGAGCTTTAAAAAGAGGGCATTATATATTATTCAAGAAGTTTCGAGCTATGATTCAATATCAGATTGGCACACCCACAAGGTGGCACTGATTGCAGTTAGGCTAACTTGGCATTGAAAACAAGGAATGTTTCTTGTTTTTAATGCCAATTTTTGGTCACATACAATGAAGTTGCATGAGATGATGGACAAGTATCGTTCGTTAGTTTCTTTTATTTTTGCAGAATAGGTTAGAAGTTGTAAATTTTATGTTTGTTGATGATGGAATTTGGGCCTCCTTGGGGATTAGGAAAAGAGCAACACAGACAAAAGGGGGGCATGTGTCCCAATGTATAGGTCCCCTGATGAAAGTTAAAGTGGTTTGATGCTGATTTTAATTCCTAGTAAAGAGCTTGGAGCCACCTTTAGCTGCTTGGGGTCACACCACCACTAAAGTTGCTTGCTACAAAACAAATGCTAAACAATATTTTTGGTTAATTCTTTTTACCTCTTATGTTCTTATTCTTGTAAATTTCTATGTATATTCTGCCTGCTTGGATCTTGTTTATTAATAGGTGTATTTTCCAATTAGCAAATAGAGAAGAACTTAGTCAAAAGTCAAAACAAAATATCTTTATTTTCACCTGTACATTCTGTATGTTTCGGACCTGAAGGCTCCTCTTCAGCAGGTTAACAACATTCTATTGCAATTTTAAAAGACAATAATATCGCACCCGACAATGATATTTAAGGTAATGATAAAATTACTTTCAGTTTCTTAATTATCTATTATTAGTACAATACCAATACAGACAAAGTATCCATAAGATAGTGTAACATAATGTTTTTTTAAAATATGCCTGTATAAAAGGATAAAATCTATTAAATAATAAAATTGTTTAATTGTAAAGAACTTCTGTGCTGTTCTTTTGCTTTATGTTCAGTAGAAAATACTGGTAACTTATTTTTATATACATATTAAGCAGTTTATGCATGTATTTATATAGAATATTTTAATGGCAAATTTTAATTGTATATAACTTATTATAAAGTCCTGTTTCTCCTCAATAAATAAAAGTATGTATTTTAATTTTACTTTTTGACAAGATTATGTCTTGTTTATAAAATCATACTGCCTGTTTATGTTACCAGCTTAGAGGTATGAAGGAGTATATGTCAAGAATTGATATTTGGCACAGAGTATTAGGTGCCCAAATCATTTGCACATAAAAAAATCCAGACTTGTAGGTAGTCAGGGAACTGAGAACTGAGTCAAAATAAAATACAAAATGGCAACCCTTTTCTACAAACAGGCAAAACAGGCACCTCACACCACCGAAGTCAGGTAGGGGAGAGTACCACCCACAGTCATTCTAAGAAGTGAATTCTGACCTTAGGACTGAACATGTAGTTTCTTCTATGTTAAATAAAATTTGTAATCTAATTTTGTAAATTTGGGAGTGTTTCAAATATGACATTAAAACAGGGTGTCGTTACAAGTAGGTTTTTTAACATTATTTAGTATAGTAAAATCGTGGGACCAATAAAAATTTGACATTATATTAGGGTTGTCATTACATTTGATGACATTATAATCGGGTTAAACTGTATATTGTTTGTGCAAAATAAAAAAATAATTTCGGACGATACAATAGCCACGATTATTTTTTTCAAAAACGGGAACTTTTCGTTACACATTGACAAAAATTCAACCCAAGCCGACACACAATGGAGAGAAATTTTGAAAATAGATAGGTTAATTTCATTGAAGATGCATCGTGGACGATCTCGTGGTTGTGGCCAGCAAAGTTTAAACAATTGTGCCCAAAAGCAGCGATATCAAAGAAGATAGGAGAATGAGAACAAAACCTGCCTTGAGCATCAAAGTGATTTCGTCTTTGAGACATAGTTTTGTCCCAAATACGGTTTTGCCGTTTTACTTGTTTAAACTAGAATACAGTAAAAAATAAAATGGGGCCCAATGCCAAAGGCACCATATTTCAGTTGTTTGATACTAAACAATAAAGTTTGTGTCCATATGCATATGAACATACAAAATTTGTAGAAAAAAAACACTGGGTGTTTTTAATTTTTACTATGGAATATTTTTATACTGAATTATATATCAAGAATCACTAAGCATATTACAACTTGCTTGTGCTTAGTGGTTTCTGAAAGTGGAAGTTGAACATTTAAAGATATTTGAATGAAAACTTAATCTATATCTGGGAAGCCAAGAAGAAAATCAAACTGTTATTTTTTTGTTGTTGATAAATATGTGGATTTATAATTTAGTTAGTTTTTTTAAATTGATTGTTTTTGAATATTTTGTAATTTGCAATTGCAAAGAATTTGAAAACATGCTTTTTATGTATTAATAATAAAATAATTTGCTTTCTTAATGAAAGTTCAATTATTTAATGTAAAATTTTGTTAACTACTGTAACTTTTGCTCTAATCTAATTGTAACAGATTCTTAACTGTCTGCAGTAACAATGGAAATAAATGCTGAAATAATTCTTACTTCATGGCATTGAAAAATTAAATACTGTATTCTGATTATAAATTTAAAAAAAACTTTTATGTCATAAGTTTTTAAAAATACTTCCATATTTACTTTCAGCAAATTTTCCAATTTGAATGTTATTGAGTCTGATGATGGAATGGAGATGTCCCAAAATACATTTAATTCAATGAAAACCTTTAATGCCTGTAATCAGTTTAGTGTTTGTATTTATCTTGGTTCATAATCTTTATAAATAGTCAAATAAAAATTGTTACCAGTAATTGATAAAAGATAAACTGATGTCTAATCATCTTGACATAATTAATAATATATGTGTAATATTATTGAAAGAAGCTTAAGAACATATAAATTAAATTAGTCATATTAATTTTATGTATTTGCATAGATATGTGTGTATACAGGCATACAGGCCTAATGTATGTCTAATTTGCAAAATGTTAGCACATCACTTCTGTCTATTACTAATGAATTATATCAGTGAATACGTAATCTTGTTTAAATTAAGAAAACAATATTTATGCAATGTTCTTGTTTCGTGTAATTAAAAACCAAAAATTTAAATTATATCTTATTTTTGCAGACAGACATGACAGAAGAAGTGGTAGATGAATCCGAAGAACCTCTTCTTGCCCCCAAAGAAAGGTACGAGCCACCTCCATCTACTGTCAATCGCAAACTAGAAATGTCCATTTTGGCACTGAAGATTGTATTGTGGTGTTTAACTATGGCCCTGTTTGTAGTATTGGAATTTGGAGCGGTATTTTTTGTCCTTTCCATCTTCTACTTTATGTACTGTAATTTCAGAACCACACCGCGAAAAAGTGATGAAGTGAGCGCTTATTCAGTCTTCAATCCTGGCTGTCAGAGGATTGAAGGAACTCTCAGTGCAGAACAGTTTGAACGAGAACTCAAGTATGGAGCCGCATCTGTCCATTGATTACAATCACAAATGTTGATACAACAAAGAGATGCTATTAATCAAAAACATAACTAACTGTAAAAGTATTGAAGGACAAAAAATTATATTTTGTTGTGGATGTGAATATATTTTATATATTTCTGAGAGCAGGAGATAGACTGTATGTATGATGTATGTGTGCATGTATATATATATAATTTTCTGCATGGTATTTAAGAAATGACTGTTAACTTAATAAAGAAAGTGGTGATTTGTTGTTATAACAATACATTCTCTGCTATTTTTTGTATTTAAAGAATGCGTACCAGTCTATTTTCTAGGGTGATGTTTATGATGGAAGGAATTTGGCAATAAATATTTTAATTTTATAGTTGAAAATATTTGCATTCGTATTCGTAAACATTGCCAAAATGATTTGCATTGTCATATTTTCCTTATTTTTTGTATGAATTTTTAAATTCATATAAAATTGACAAATTTGATTTTCAAAATTCTGAACTATACATTAATTAATAGAAGAATTAAAAAGAATTCTAATACAAAAACTACTTTTTTCTATCTGTTTCAGTTTTCAAGAATTTTTGGAAAAGAATTTCCCCATAAACAAAACATTACTTTTTTAGTGCCATTTGCTGGAGATCACATGCAGAATCAAAGAGGTTACAATCATTTTTAAAAATTGCTGGGACGAATTTACTTTAACAGAAAAAATTATTTCTGAGAATATACATACAAGATGAGTCAATTTCTTTCGGTCCCTTCACATGCTGTTGAGGTAATAAGAATTCCACGGCAAATGTATTTATTATTTTTATCTTTGTGCCACCACTAGCGGACTATTTTAGCTTTTTTGCCTTGTATGGCTGACGAGTAGCCTACAATAAAAGGTCGACTCCACTGTGGAATTGTTATTACCTCAAAAGCATGTGAAGGGAGCAAAAGAAATTGACTCGTATGTATAGTCTCAGAAATAATTTTTTCTGTTAAAGGTTACAATCAGCCTAAATAGTGCGATTGTAAATATTTAGTTTTAAAAGTGAAAAGTAATGTAGAGATTTGAGCATATTTTTCTAGGATTTATAATTATTATTCAATGTGCTTTTATTACTAGCAATAAAATGACTCAATATAATTTTCAGCTTGAGACCTTGGCCATGGTGGTTAAGTCATCAGCCTACTGCTTTGGGAATCCATGTTAGCAACTTCTGACGAATTTTTCAAGGGTGATCGGGCCTTGTCTCTCATCACTCGGTCTCCCACAATGGACTTGGAAAAAGTATCTCTTCATATTTACAGGGCAGAGAGCCAAAAATGAGAAGAAAAAAAAACTATAAGACATTGTTAATTTAATGCACAAAATTTTTATATTTGTTGCATGAGTGATAATGAGGAAACATCATTTTTTAACTAGAAGATACTGATTGCTGGATTACAAATGCAGTAAAGGCTTCGGACTGCTGCTCTGGGAACTTTGGATCGAGTCTGAATAGGAATCTTTCATGGATGGATGTCCTTGATATGTCAGACCTCAACTCTCACTACTCAACCTCTTTCATTGCCAGCCTGGTCATATTCACAATTAGCATGGGAAAAGGTCTGCTTCGTGCCCTCAGAACAGAAAGGATGTTAATGAAAAATCTAGAAGAGTCTGATCAATTCTCGGTGCAAGGAGTTTCTATGCTAAATGTATAAACTACTAGAGGCATAAAAGTTCAAAAAATGATAATAGGTTTTTTAAACTTTTTTCACTTAGTGCCCACTAAAGAGTGTTTTTACAAGCCTATATGGGTTTGGCCAGACCCACAACAAAGTGGCCAGGCAATGAGAAACAAAATCCAACATATTTGTGATGAGGAAGGTGACCTATGTCTTATCAACCAATCTATTGAAGGCTGGATGGCATTACCCATTTTTTTGCTGCATTTTGGCTGCCGAACTTGATTCCCCAGACACAGTTAAGGTAAAAGCATTGTTTTTGAAATCTAGAAAGCAATCCTTTGCTTTCTTTAAATCTGTCTGGCTGAAGTTCTGTAATCTTCATAGGCTTTTCATGTATTAGGGAACCATTCAATGGAATTCCTTCACATTTGCTTTTTCTATCCATTTCAAAAGCTGATTTCAACTTCAGAGTCAATACCACCTACATCACAATTGCTTATGTGAAAAAAATTGTATAATTAAAGTGTTTGCTATACGAAGAGTAGCAAAGATTGCTACTCCTGTGCTTTCCTTAATTTAAAATTTTCCCCTATTATGCAGTTCAAATTGTATAACAAGGATAGTATAAGACTACCTATTACTTATTTGTCAGAACTGTTGCATTTAAGAAAAGACTGTTTTATTTTTTCTCTTGCTTTCCAAATGTCTGAAGTTGTCTACAAACTGAGAGACATTTCTTTACCAACTGTGATTTTCCATCTTCAATCAGACGAATTTTACTCTGTGTATTTTTGTGTTAAAGCTTTTCTTCACATACACTAAACAAACTAACTGTAATGTGAAAATCTACGGTGAAAAATTGATTAAAAATGAAATTTATGTTATTTTTATATTTATTTTTTGCAAATAAAATAAATAAAACTTCTACTGTGACGAAATAAATAAAATGGCGACTAAAAAGTCCGTAATGACGGAACGATAGCGGTCCTGTCTGACCCTAAAAATAGTTTAGTAACGGGCGTCCATTACAAAAATGAGTTTTCTTATAATTTTACTATATATTTTTTTACAACTCTTCATGGGTACTAAGAGGGCCTATTCTTGCAAGTTCATTATTTGTTCGGTCCGGACCTAGGAATTTTTCGGACGGACTACCATCCGAAAAATTCCTGGGGGATTTTCGATCCCGGATCCACCAGAGGCATAGGCTGCGGTCTTCATCGCAGGAGAAAAAGCTATCTTACATTTTTGGCTTTTAGTTTTTTCAAATAAAAATCGATTCGTTTATTTGCAACAGATATAGTTATAAAAAATCAACGAAATAGTTTTATTTAAAAAATAAATTTTAATATTCCTTCATTTTTTTAATGTAAAAAAAGACGACAGAGGTCGCTTCTCAAACGACAACATGGCAGCATCCGGAGAAGTGGCCGATTGATGTAATTCGTATAAAATCGAGAACTTATGGCCCTTAAGGAACAAATAGTTCCCAAAGAAGATTCGTCGTCCTTGTGTTTTCAGAAAAGCGAATTTGCCAAAGTACGTAACGTAATATTGTTACCGAAAAAACCGCTTTAAATGAATAATAATTAAATTGATTGACGTTTTGAGTTTGTTTCTCGTTTAAAATATGTTTTAATGGTTATAAAACCTGGTAGAAGTTACTTTGTATATGCACGTGTATACAAGATAGAAGCCGAAAGTAACTTCTATTCGGTTGCGCGTTATAGCATCGAGGGCCCAGGCAAATTTGAATTAGGGTGGCCCCCTTGCGGTGGCGGACTCGGGGGGGGGGGTCAAGGGACCCTGGAACCTCCCAAGAAAGGGAAAACACTAGAAAATTTTCCTAATTAAATTTCATTTTTTTCCTTTATATTCTGTCGCGTCTTCTATATCTACACTATTTATGAATTAGCAGTTGTATAAGATGAGAATTTTATTGAATTTGCATTAAAAGTATTTTTACTGGATTATAGGTTTTAATTTTTTTAATGAGAAACTCCATTGTACTGACTGCTTTCAGGGTATAATTAGATTTGCACTCCATGCTCTGATAAGCCTATTGCATATTTATAGACTGATTTTGGGGGGTCTGTTGCAAAGGATCCCCTGTGGACCATCAGTTCCTTTGACTTTTTCATTCTTAAGAGCATGGTCCTCAAATCTGATAAGATATAAGATCCTAACTGCCTCATTCACAACTACAATTTTACCAAAATTTTTCATTAAAATAGTTATCTGTAAAGTTCTTAATTGAAAATGATCAAAGTAAACATGTGGCAGTAGTCAATTGAATCTAAATTAATTTGGGATTTTGACTAACTTTATATAAATCCATCGTTTTAATGTTGTTAAACAGATGGCCAAAGTGATAAAGGCACAACATCTGGTGATTCTGGTTTGATTCTATATCTACTCTCAGGTGTATTTGCAACCAATGTTTTAGAGCAGTGTTTCTCAACCTCTAATGAATCATCGCCCCCTTCAATAAAACCGTTACGTAGTATCGCCCCCTTCTCTACAAAATTTTGATGAGGGACAAGGCTAACGCCAAATTTGTACTGCATTGAATAGACTAGTGACTAGTATAATGTTATTTGTTTAATTATTGTATGATATAATGAATAAAATATCTAATTATTCTTAATATAATGTTTTACTATATTGCCAGAAATTTGTTTTTCGCCCCCCAAAGTATAAATTGTTACTAATCGCCTCCTCAACATGGAAAAATGCCCACATGGGGGCGATATCGTCCCCATTGAGAAACACTGTTTTAGAGTTTCCAAAGTAAACCAATACTATTTATTAGGCTTCAATTTGAAAAACTTGTAGACCTATAAATTCCTGCTATTGTCTGTCTGACCTTCCTTAATCTCGAGAACAGAGTTAGATAAATGAAAGTCGAGACCAGATATGGAAGGCTCCTGATTAACTACTGTATATATAAACTTCTTGTTTGCTCTGGAAGTTATGTTATCTTGATTCAAAAATTTTTCCCTGAAAGAAGTTAGTTAGATGACTGGCTAGACACTATTGCTAGCAGAAAAGTATGATGCACAGGGGCACTACACAGATGTACATGTACAGTACAGTACATTACTAATTTCAGGTGGAGAGCATATATTTTAAATTAAATAATTTTACTTTTAATATCTGAATGAGTATTAGTTAATTTCTAACTCTAATCCTTGGATTTGAATACTGACAGAAGTTTTATGGGTAGGCTGATCAAGACACATTGAATTTCACTCTTAGAATCTGGGCCACCTTTGTGATCCTGGTTGGACATACAAATAAATGGACATGGTAAAAGGTTCTCTTAATATGCGCAGAATGGAAATAGATTGAGATCAAATATGGAAAATTTAGGGAATGGAGGATCTGATTAACTATATACAAACTTCTGGTCCAGACCAGAAGTTGGTATATAGTTAATTGGTGTCTTTGATTGAAAATCACAGCCCTGCCTTATGTCACAATAGATAATTGCTCGTTCCAACACTAAAGTTGTTCAGATATATGTCTCCATCAAACAAACTAAAATACAATAATGCTAAAATATTAATGAGTTCTTGTATATTTTAACCATGATTAAGAAAATGGCCACATTTTGGTCTTTTCAATCTTGTTGCAAAAGTTCGAATCTGACTAATCATTCTAAAACATTCAATTCTTATGTTCTACTAGAGTTAGAAAGTCTATATTTTATTAAATCATCTAGCAGTTTAAATGTTTAGAACATAATTATGATCCTTTATTGTCAGAAACATCGTTACTGTGAAACTGATGGACTGGAGAACCATATTTATTTGGGAATCCTTACATACAGCAAATAAGGACTCCTATAGTAGACCTCTTGACCACACAGACCTTTGGCTTTTGCTTTTTAAAATTTTTTAAAATTTAATTTGTGACTATGGTGCTATGGATCAGCTTGTATTAAAATTTACAGATGAAAGACATTAAATACCAAAATAAAAGTAAAGTATGAACTTGTCATCAACATTAAAAATGATAAAATTATCGCCGCCTTTAGTGTCAATTAGTAAATTAAAATTTTATGCTTGAATTGAGTCATTTTGCAATGTAATAAGATTTATTGTATGTTAGATTGCAAGATGATATAAAGCAATATAAATTTTTACCTTGTTAATATCTGGTTCTGGCATATAATATTTTATTAAAATATTGTAATAGTAACGACAGATGTCTCGGTGAGTCTGCCTCTTCTGAATTGGTTTATTGATCCGAAATGCTTCATTTTCTGAAACAGTTACTTTCTTGTTAATGATGTTTAGTCTATTACTAATCAAATGTTAATGCCAAATTTGTTATCAGGCTATAACCGGGCTAATTAAATATGTAGTTATTAACACAGTAAAAACACACTAACCTTTAACTTCAGTCAAATAATATTAAGATCAAAACATCTCCAACCTTTTAAAAATCATCTTCATTAGTCTACTAAAGATAAAAACTAAGGAATGATCTGTTTAAAACTTGGAAGCGATGCCCAAAATTGAATGTAATGATCTTGATAAGAATGTTTTTTTCTCTAGAAATTCATTGAACGTGACCTTTAACAGTTAGAAAACATTTTGGTGTCAATATTGTTTGACTGAAGTTAAAGGTTAGTGTGTTTTTACTCTTCTACACCTTCAGTTAGAAGAGTTACTATATAGATATTATATAATTTGGACTAAATATGAGAAATTAACTCTCCATCTTGTATTAAATTTAATAATTAGAATTAAATTTATTTAGAATATTCCGGAAGGATATTACAGTGGGTGATCAGTTAATGAACATAATCTGTTCCAAGACGTTCTTTGCTATTCGAATTGTTCGTTAACTGATTATCAATTTACCATTGGTTTATATGGGAATTTGATTAATTCACTTTGGAGATCCCAATAAATAAAAATATATACTTTCTTACTATATTTATTTATATTTAATAATAAAAATACATATATACACAGTCTTGCATTTTTATTAGTCATGTTTTTTCTGTTTGGGGGGTTAAAGAATCTGTCTAATGTCAATTGCTTTTCTCTCTTCTTCAGAATTTTTCAGAAGTAATTAATAGCATTGTAATTGCATAATTGATCCCTAAGCCTATTAATCTCAACCTGGTTTGGGTGCCATTCTAAGACTGTTGCTCTGACATCCTCCCACTTCTTCAAAAGGTCTTTAATAGTAGATATCAGCATTAATCCTATTTTTCAGAAGAAAATATATCTCGCCGAATTTCTTGGTGTTCTTCATTCAAGAGTTCTTGCATTCTTCTGTTGCCTGATCAGTTTCAAGTTCCATTAGGAGCTCTTTAATGTTCTTTATTTCTTAGATGTGATTTTCGTTACTCCTTTAGCTGCTTGAGTCTTCTTGATTATATCTTTCTTAGCTAAGATTGTGCCTACTGTAGATCTGTTCAAGCCACACTGCCCAGCAACATCAGACATCATCTGCCCACTCTCTACCTTTGCTATTATACCCTCACCTTTCAAAAATAAAAACCGATGCAAAACTTAACGAATACCTGCCAGACAATCTTGCGAATACTATAAAAGAAAAGGCTGGAATTAACAAGGGAGAGTTTTGAAGTTCAGGGAATACTATCCGAACAGTATATACTGGGTTGAGTGTTGATGTCGACGTCTCCCATGCTCTGAAAGTTTCAAATTGTTGTTTGAAGACAAGGGAAGACCAGTCGGTATTCATTATTTTATGTCACTTCTTCTTGTGTTTCTTCTGTGAGGTGTTTGTTGTCCGAACGGAAAAGTCTTTCACGAAAGTGTTCATTATCCGATTTGTTCGTTAACTGATCACCCACTGTATTAGTTTTGGGTATTAACAGATAATTTGATCTTGGTTTACTATGATTATCTATGTCCTAGACAATTTTGTTTTGAAGCACACTTATAACTTACTGATTTAATAATATGTCCATAGTACTCATTGTGGACACTAAATATTTTAAATTTCATCCAAATCAGTTTGTTGGTTCTGGAGATATTAAAGGTCAAGTGGCACTTTAATCACATGTGTGGTAAACTTTGCTGTAGAACATCACTGCACTCTATGATAAGATATTGCTAAAATTGAATACAAATGATGAAATCTTATCCTATCATCCTAATGATGAATTCCTGTACAGACAAAGTGATGCATAGTAGTCAACTTTTGATAATGTGCATATCGAAGTCGTTACTGTACATCATTTTATTTAATTTATGCACTTTTGAAAAAAATAGAAATGCATAAACTAATGTTATTTTCAGCCATAGCTAAATTACATATCTGATATTATAAGTTACATTCTTCCTTGAAGGTGGTGAACTACTACCTGTGGTAATTCAGCCAAATTAATGAATGCCCTTTTAACAGCAGTCGAAGCTAGAAGGACTCCCTTCTCTCTGCCTGACAATAACTCGTTGCTCTTTTGTATCAACTGCTACCATTGACTGCATTCAGCAGACTCAACAGTTCCGGAGCTGTTGAGTACTTTTTTGCCAAATGCCCTCTACAGTAGTGCTGTTTCAGAACATGTTTGGTATTTTGTTGTCTCATTTAGTAGCGTCTTTCATTTATGCTATCTATCACTAGCTGAAACTGACTAATGATGGCTACTTCCTGTTTCAACACATACGTCACTCATCATTCAGCAGATATAAATATGTAACAGTTACCAATTGAAACACCTTTACTTAATTACAGCTGTTGTCCCCTTCTGAATGTGGCCATTGTAACCCACCATCTCCATCTCTTTATTTTATTGGAATCTATCCCTTCATTTCTCCTTCCAACACTAACATTTCTCATTCAACTCTTCCACATCTGAGGATGCCCTTTAACTGAGTCAAAAATGTTTGTGTTATTTTAGTTTCACTCACTGTTAAAGGTACATAAATTAATTCAGTTACACTTATTTCCTTCAGTGTCCTATTTATACAATTATATTGAGTAATTTTCATAATATATATTTTAAACAAAAGTTCAATATGAAAATATTACATTTATAACTATTAATTTTTGTTATTTATTAATTGTTTTATTACTTTTTTAGGATGATTTCTGTGTAGATTATTTTGTAAGTGAATATCGGAAACATGTGCCATTGGAAGTTCTCCGGGACGACTTGGGAATTTATTTAAATGTTTTACGTTCTTCTATGATAGAACTTATTAACAAAGATTATGCAGATTTTGTTAATCTCTCTAGTAATTTGGTAAGTACATAATGAAATTAATTAAGACTTATTGGACAATAATTTAATTATAGTTTATAAATAAATAATGAACCTTTTTGGGATTTATTAATATTTTTATTTGTATATTATGAATTATAGACATTTATATATGTAGCAAATAATGCTTATTATTTATATTTTAAAGGTATATCAAAGGAATTAAAAGAAGAGTGAAAAAGATTGGGTTTTCTTCACCCTTCTTGCAATTTTTTGCATTAGCAGTAATATCATGCAATAAAAAAGACATTAGAAACAAATTTTTTGCCCTGTACTTTCACTTAATCTTCATAAAATGATGATTTTATATATATATATATTATTTAGTATATCTAAATTGTATAAAATTATTATGTTTGAACAGAAATAAAGATGAAATTATTTTACCAAATCTTCAGTAGAGCTGTGTAACTGTATAAAATAGTTTCATTTAATATTATCAGTGTGACATTTGATCTTAAAAATTGGCATTTTGTTTAATTTGATAATTGGAAAACTAGTCTCTGTCCAAAGTACTATTTGAGAAGTGAACAAATGGAATGTGTGGTGAAAGAGAACATAGTTCAAAAGATAAGTAAATTAGCTCTAAGACTGTTCAGCCAGGTCGAGAGAATGAAAAGAGAACTGTCAAAGAGAGTATATATACGTGGGAGAGATGAATGGGAAGCATGGTAGGGGAAGGCTGCGATTGAAACTAGTGGATGTATATCTGAAAGATTGTAAGGTGTCGAGACAGAAAGAGATGTGAGGAAGTGCACTAGAAGAGGTACAAATATGTATGGGCAGGAAGGTGTGGAGAAAGTTGCCGAATGAATAGTTTGTGAGGGTTGTCTTCTTTTGCATACTGCTCAAACTTTTTTAATTATGAGCATGAGGATATGTATTTATGAGGAAAACTAGTTGTAAATTGTACATAGCTATTTCTATTTAAATCTCCAGTCATAATAATAATAATTGAAAGCAAGAATAGTTTCTATATCTTTAGAATAAAATATTTTTTCTGAAAATAAATCAGTTATAAAGTTTCAAAAAATCCTAGTTCCACAAATATTCTGCTTTATTACAGCATTTCTTATCAACAAAACACAAATTCAATCATTTTTCAGTTTATTGCTAATATTTGGAGGTATAAATTTTTTGTCAGTAAAATAATATATTGCTGACTAGGGAACTATATATTCTCTTTTCCTAGATGTCTTCTTTTGAATGATAAGGATAAAAAATTATCAAATTATCATAATTAAATTTAATCATGTCTTGTATTATTTATTTACAGGTTGGATTAGATAAATCCATCAACAATTTAACAGTCCCGTTGGGTCAGTTGAGAGAAGAAGTAATGGTGAGAATGGCTATATTTTGTTACCATTATTTTAAACTTTATTTAGATATTTTATTATGTCAAAATAGTTTACAGTGACATTTATTTTGATAAATTTCTATATATATGTTACTGTGAAAGACCAAAATTAGAGAATATTGACACACACAAAATACGTCAATGAAAGACCGAATATTTGGTTATATTATTATACATTCAAACAATTGCTGGTATATGTCGACAAGCACAGATAAGCTTTGGTGGAGGTCAAAGAAATTGTTAATACTTTTGAAGAAAATTTGAGCAGTGGCCATAACGAATACCATATTCCAAAGAAAAATATTGAAGAGGAGCTGCAACCCACCACGTCTTCATATCAAGCCCTGACTGAACAATACGAAGTTATTTCTATAAAAAGAGTGGCTGCGAAAGAGAATCTTCTACTGCAAGCAACAAAAATGTTATGAACCTCAAAAAGAAAATTTCCTTCTGCTCAAATTGGTGATACCATACAAATACAAGTTCCTGATATCAACTGTGGCCATACAGATGCCTGAAATGTGTTAGCAGTTGTTGTTGGAATAGAAGACTCCGACTTTTATAAATTAGCAAACAAAAACAGTACCCTCAAGCAGCTTTATACCCATAATCAGTTCATAATTTGTAAAGAAAAGTTACTTTTCATAGATGATATTTCGTCTCAAGAAATATCACTGAGATAAGCAGCTGCAGCTATTTCTAAAAGTGGTGGGCAAGGCTATACATGCTGTCATTGCAAAAAGAAGTGTTTCACGAATAAATGCAGTTGTAAAAGCAAAGAGGGACTCTTGTGAAATTCAAAGTGCCATAACAGTTTAAGTTGTTGCAATAAATAAGATTGTATAATGTTAATCACATAATTTATGTGTAAGTTTATTATTGTATTATTTTCTTTAATGATTTAGAATGTACTGTTCGCTTTAGGTTCAACAGTTTATTTACATGTGCAGTTACTTAAGCTTTCTCCTATTTTGACATATTAAAAAGTTGCATTTTTGTCTTAATGTAATAAAAATATTTTTATTCAACATTCACCATCAGTGCATGCTGAATGCTGACATTTGCCGGTGTAAGTGAGAAATAATGATATTCAGCAAATATTTTGAACATATGTTACTGTGAAAGACCAATATCTGGCAAATGTCAAGCTTCTCTGGTGAATGTCAGCATTCACACAGTTGTTTCGTGTATGTACAAAATATTTGCTAAATATCATTATTTCTCTCTTACACCAGAAAATGTTGACATTCAGCATGCACTGATGGCGAATGTTGAATAAAAATATTTTTATTACGTTAAGACAAAAATGCAACCTTTTAATATGTCAAAATAGGAGAAAGCTTAAGTAACAGCACATGTAAATAAACTAATCAAAATTATCACCTTTTTAAATATTCCAGCAAATAATTTAATATCGTAAAAACGTTTTCGATAGTCTAATGATCTTCAGTTAAAAAGAACATTAAAGAAATAGAACAAAAGTTAAAATTATGAAAAAATAATAACTGCACATGTGTAATGATGAGCGTTTAACGGAATGAATACAAAAAGTTAGGGATATAAGACTAAAAAATAAATAAATAAAAATAAAGTGCTCAACAGTTTCTCATTAAAAAGTAATGTTTCGTAAAAATTACAGATTATCTTCATAGAATGATTTCCATGCTGTGGATAGAGAGTGGGCATCCCTATGATTGATATGAGTAGTTTATCCCTTGGTCTTTATAAATCTCCAGTTTTTCAAGATGCTTGATGGAGTGCTTGTTAGACGTGGGTCTAATGATGGAAGCTTGGTCCCATATAACATCAACTCCTTGCTGGTTGGCGTAAGATGCTAAAACGGTGCTATCGTTGTTCTTTCTAATAGAGTATCTATGTTCTTTGATTCTTTGTTCCAAGCTTCTCAAAGTAGTACCTGTATAAACACTATCTGAATCAAAGCGACGGTCTTTGATTGGTATGGAGTAAATACCGGAGGTAGGGATCTGGTTGTCATTCTTTTTATCATTTCTCAGTAACTTGTGTACTGTGGGATTGCAGTGATATATGATCCGTAAATTATTGATGTTCGCAATATCTTTCATCATTTTTCTTAAGAAGGGATGATAGTTGATTACCGCCATGTGTTGATTGTTAATTAAGGGAGACTGATTAGTTTTAAACTGAAAAGTTGTGATGAGTTTTTTTATGAGATTCTTTTGGTAACCATTCTGTTGTGCTATTTGTATAATGTACTCTAATTCCTTGTAAGTATCAAGTATATCTGTGCAATGAGTAAAGGCTCGTTTGATCCATGATTGGAAAGCTGCATATTTAAAGTCTCTAGGATCCATTGAATTGTATGGTATGATGATGTTATTTAGGCCCGGTTTTCTGTAGATGTTAGTGCATATTTCACCTCTTTTGCATATGATGTTGACATCAAGGAAATGGACATTAGTAAAGCTTTCCTGGTCCAGTCACAACTTTGCTCAATTGCACATATTGCTGGTTCAAATATTTCAATGCTCTTCACTTTGTACACCAGATGACTTAATGTATATTCCTGTACAGATGGCAGCATTTTCTGAGAAATTTGTGTCGATGCTTCAGTTCATATAAACTTGAAGTCTGTTTCTACCAGAAGATGCCAAAAATTTTGGGAGATGGTGCATGTTGTTTAGATAAAATTCTACTTCATTTTTCTCGAGTAGACTTTCACAACCCTAGAGATGACATCTTGAAATGGGGAAACATCACTAGGAAGACTTTGAACATTGGTAGGCTGGACCAATCAAACCACACTCACTCACTTTATTTTGATTTTTATTTAAGTTCAGTCTATACACTAAGATTGTTCTGCCATTTGCTGATTACATATGTAGAGTCAATACACTTTTATCGATATTTTAATAAAATAATTAAAGTTTGAAATTACGATGCACTGATTAATCAATAATTTATCTGCCAATATACTTATTGGTGCAAAACTAGCATAGTACGCTATACATATTGAACCGTACAAAAAAGAATAATTTATTAAAATATTTCTGCTGTAATAATTAGTGATCTCGATTCCACATTTACTTAAATATTAAAAGTAATAACAGTTTGACAATTACCATTGCTACTTTTATTTGTAATATATTAAAACACAATTTCTATTTTAATTATTAGTACTTGCTTTCAAAATTCAAAAGGAGTTAGTATTTTGAAAGTGAATTAAATATTTTTATGTAATTGTTATGATTTAATAAAATGAATTTGTTCCTATTTGTACAGACTGTAAAGACAGCATTAGATGATGCACTTGACTCTATACAGAAAAAATTACAAGAAAGAGAAGAAACAAGAAATAAAAAGGTAAGAGTACAAATAATTCTTTTGATAGTGTTATTGTACATTGATCATAATTAAAGAGTAAGTATTTAGAGCTTTCTGTGGAAACAACTGTTGTGTAGATCTCAAACAAATTTAGTGTACCTACTATCTTGAATATGCAGTTTCAATTTTTAAAAAAAAATTTCACTTCAAAATTTAGCTACTATGGCAAAAATTTTGCACTGCTGTCTTCTTAATGTGCATATTACATACATTTTCAAATGAATTTTGGGAGTTAAGAAAGTACAATAATTTTATTTCAATTATAGACATGCTGAGCTAGCTTAGCTGTGTTATTGATAGAAATGAGTAATGAGTAATGCATAATCAGGTGAAGTGAGCACCACGACTGTTCACTTGTTTTGTGACTTTTTATACCCAAAATTCACTAAAAAAAATATATGTGATAAGCATGTTAAGAGGACAGTAGTGACAAATTTCGTCCTAACAGCTGAAGTTTGAAGTAAGAATTTTTCTCAAATCAAAACTACATACTTGAGACAGTATGTATACTAGATTTGATTGACATTTGCCAAAGTTCTTTTTACAGAGAACTGAACATGTGCTTTTTAATTATGATTACCCTGTATATTTGTATAACAGAAAACTATGAAATACAAGTAGTCCCCAAATTATGACTGACTTTCTTTCTTGCTCTATCATAAGTCAAACATAAAAAAAGTAATGGTAATAAATGAGTATGATTTCCAAGATTGTGCATAAGCTTATATAACATTGCTTATGTATGTATATTATAATTAGCTTGTGTGTGTATTTATCCATAAAGTGACACCATTTAGGTACATTGCAATTCAAGTCAATATTTAATATTTTAATTAATTATAATATTATTTTAACAGAAACATGCAGGAGACAATAACATTCAATGATTGCAATATTATCATACTGAGAGCATTTAGCATGCTTTGTGTAGTTTATGTTGCTACATCATTTAATTTATTATTAATTTGATAATTTTATTATAAAATTGCCTGAATTCTACCTTGGATTTCCAGGATGATAAGCTTCAGTAATCCAGCAATCTCAGAAAAATTTATTTTGATTATTATTTTAAATATTGTTAGAATAAATTCAATTAATTAAGCATTTTACTTCTATGTTTACATATAAAATATGTATTTTCAGATTTTAATACAGAAAGTAATGATTGTACTAAAAGAAATTGAAAAAATAGAAATGTTATTAAATATTACGTACACTAATCAAAATGCTTATTTCATTCAAAGTGAAATGAGGTGAGTTTTATATTAATTATTATTATTATTATTACTAAAATTTTCCACGTAAGTGAGAAACAAACCACAAATAGTAAAGTTCAAGGAGGCTTTTTGACTCCTCAAACTTTATTAGCTGTACTTTGTTTCCTACATAAGACTGGTTTATGTGATACATCTAACACCAACATTTTGTCACTTGAAACAGCAATGTGTGTGTGTGCTTTGTTTAAACAAATTTGCAATTTGTTGGAACAATATTGCAGAAAATCTAATCTGTCAGATTTTACCTTATTGCATTGTTGAACGTAATTTAGATTTAGCTAGACTTATAAAAAATGGTGCTGATATTAGTGCCAAAAACAATGTTGTGGAGTACAATTGATGATGAAATTGGAATCATTTGTTATATCAAATTCTTATCATTCTTGAGAGAAACAAATGCTCTTGAGCTTGCTTAGAACTTGCAATTTGTATTACGGAGCATTGTGCAAATATCTGAATTGTTGGCATGTTTCTGATGTAACAAAATGTTAGCAGTAATTGTATTGCATAAATCAATCTATATTTTTTTAAAAAATGGAGTTAATAGCTGTAAAAATGTAAATTATTTACATTTTTATATAGAGAAATTAAATATAATTTATTTTAAACATATAACTCAACTTTTATGTAAATTGATTTATGACTTAATTTGTGGAATAAGATGGACACCTATAGTAGTGGTCTGTTTGTGCCTATGCTGTCATACAATTTACAGCATTTGCAATATACTGAACATCAGTATGTATCAAGATTTAACTTTTTTTTCTTTGCACAAAATTCTAATAAGTTAGAATTTATGGGTCTTTCTTGTTTTGAACAGTCTACAAAATAACAGAAATTCATTTAATAAGTTCAAAAGACACTCAACATTGATAAAAGCAGTAAAAAGTTTAAATACAGTGTTTACAAATTTTAACATATCTGTTAATACTAGAAATTCTCCTTTTAAGCATGACAGAATATTTTTTATGAGAAAGTAGAGACTGAAGAATCAATAAGAGCTTCAAGTTGAGCCTGGCATTGCGATGCTGTTTCTGCAACCCTTGACAAAGCCATTCTTACTGGATGTTGCTCAAGTCAGACCTTATGGCCTTCAAAGGTCTCAGTTGTTCTTATTTGGTTATTAGAATTTACCTGACCAATTTACTCTTATGCTTTCCGCTTGGAAATTTTTATTTATTTGTGACAAAATAGAGGGTTTTTTTTTAATTCCATGTTGATAAAACAAAGATGAATTGTGCATACATTAATTAGATGAGCGATAACACTTTCTAAATAGCGGACTTGTTAGATTGTTTCATCTGATTGGATAATAAAATGTCACATGATCACTATGGAAATATTTTTTAAAAATTTGTTATAAAAGTAACATGATGCAGCTATCATTTTTAAAGTGAAAATTTTAAATTTAATGAAGTAAGTTTAAAATATGCCTTTAACTAAAATATTTAAAAATGCAACTTAAGGATAAAATCCTCATACGTCATGTGCTTGCTGATGTCACTGTAAGTGCTATCATTGATTTTAAATCGATAGAATGTTTATTCTATAGCAAATATTTCTGCAAATTAAATAGCTATATACTTCCCATTAGAACATAAAACGAATGTACCTAAAATTTCATTTGGATTGGACAAAAATTGCAGGAGTTATAAGAATTCACACACATGGACAAATGGCAGCTTTTATATTACTAATAATAGTTTAAAAAATTTTGTCAGCATTTATGGGTTTAGTTATTTGTTGTAAACAAATAAAAATTATGAAGCCAAACAAACTGCCAAATTATCGGGCATTAATTCTTTTCTTCCAGAAAAATTCTAAATTAAATTAAATTTATTATAATTATTAAATCTAGCAAAACTGTCTACTCTAACCAAATTATTCAGTATTTAATTACATAGCCATATTATAGTCTTATAATTTGGTAGTTTGTTTACATTTAACTGTAAGTGAGATTTTTGAGTTGATATTTGTATATATGAAAATTATGTTTAATCCCTTTTCAACTCGGTTTTGTCAGAATTTATTTTGCAATCAAATTACAAGAAATGTCAACTTATATTAATATGTTCTATAATTATATATGTTGGGATATAAGAATTTTTAATTAAGACTCTTAATTTGCTTTAAATAATCAGATTTTAATTTACAATTATATTTTATTAGAGTTGTTTTCTTTTAAAACAAAAATATGCATTATAATTTCTCAACACAGCATTAGATAAAGAAGTTTAAAATTTATATTTCTTGAATCAGTTAGTAAATCATATATAATAATGCATATTTATGTATACAAAAGTGAATAATTAATTAAGTAATTAAAAACATTAAAAAAAAAACTAGATTTATGCAAAATATTAAAATAATTGCTGTTTTATTTTGTAGGAAATGGTCTTCTGATTTAGTGGAACGAGTAGCTTTAAACTTAGTAGAAATGCAATTTATATTAAGTAAGCTCAAGGGGTTGAAAGTGATTGAAAATTTAAGAATTGTAAGAATTTATAAAATTATTTTATAATTTTATTTATTATTTTAATTTATTAATAATAATTCCTGCTTCTTATGATTATTAATAATTTATTTATTGTTTCTCAGAGAACAAAATATCTCATTAATACAAACTTCAAGATACTGTAAATGTGAATATTTTTGTTTACAGAGTCAGAAACAGAGGATATATATAGACATATACATATCATTTTCTGACATAACGATTTATTATACCAAAATAAAATTTTTTTGTAAATTTTAAAATTAGAATACTTTTTCATAAAAATGCATACACAATTCAAAGAAATGTGTTCTAACTTCATCATATAAAGAATGGCAAACGAAAGATATTAATTCTCTTGTAGAGATTTTCAAGCTTCCTTAATGATTATTGCTTATTAAACAAATGTAAAAACAAAATATTAATTGAAAATTGAATTAAAGATGAAGATCTATGAAAATTGTATATAAATTTTTATACTAATAAACATATTCATTAGTGTTAGTTAAGTATTAATACTGAATATCAATCAATCAATCAATCAAACATTTATTTGTTGTGGCTTTTGCCCTTACAAAGGGGTTACAGAATTCGTAGCAACATTATTAAATACAAACATTGTTATACATTATTATAAAAGATAATAAATAATATAACTTAATAATACTGAATAATTTCCATTGTTGGTTGCCAGATTATGCTGAAACTGTTGTAATAAAAATAAATATGCCCTAGAACTTTTTAGCCACATTTTATATATAAATATATAAGGGTGGATTAACAAATAACCAGTTAAGAGCAATAGTCCATGCTGTTGTTTGATTGATCCATTCAAAATTTTTAAATTCACTTACAAGATAGTAATCTAACTACCTTATAGATTGTTTCATATATCTTGGCCAGGGTATATGTGATACTCAGTTGGGACTCTGGAAGTTTTATAAAGTTAATGTGTCACTTTTTGGTAATATCACAGATTAATCAGTCTGTTCCCTTCACTAAGTGAATAGACTGGCCAAAATGACATTGATAAAGTTAATTAAAGATGCTAATGTTTTCAGCTAATAAGTCATATTTAGGCATCACGATTTAAAACAATTAAGGTTAGAAAATATAACAATTGCCAACTGACATTGTCATAGATCAATGGAGGTCAATGAGATAGGGCATCAATAGCATAGTGAGTAAAAAACTGAAAAAAAATAATGGTAAGACCAACACTAAACTTGAAGTTTAGTGTTGGTCTTACCATTATATACATGAATTGGATATCATGTATTTACTGATGCATGCTACTTCCAGCAGGCATTTGCTGTAAGAGAAATTGCAATAATATATGTAAAACTTCACTTTTATTATTAATAAAACTTTACTTAAACCGTTTCTCCACTGCACAGTAACTTTTTGGACACCTTGTATATGTCTTTCTGCAAATCGAATGTTAATGTAAGATGAATGATGATAAATCTTATTGATAAATTGGAATTATAATATTTTATTGCAATTCATTCTTAACATGCTAAGACACATTCACTCTCTAAGAGAATTTCTTCATTAAACATTAAAAATTGTGCAGGAAAAAATGGTTTTAATTAATATTTTTAGCTCTAAAATAGATCTACATTCTATATAAACATTTTATCATTACTTTTTCAGAAATTTTTGTATTATTATTTTTTCAGTCAGTAATTTATACATAAACATTACTTTTTTCAGCGTATGCAAAAAATTACATCAATCCTTCGGAGTCATTTAGAAGAAGTTTTTATAAACAAGGGATTATTTGATCCACCAACACTAGAAATGGTTTTAAGAACTTATGCTATATTTGACAAAACCGAAGAATTGGAATTGCTGTTTTGTAAGAGAGTTGTCAGACCTCACTTGGAGAAGGTAAATATTTATTACCATATTTTATGGCATATAAGACACAACATTTATCCAAAAAAAAAAAAATGCCCTGCATCTTATTTGTGAAATTGTAATCTCCCAAGGGCCAATGAATTTCCCAAATTGTCTCTGTTAGCAATCTACAACTAGCCCAATTCTGAATAAAAATGTTAAACTTATTATTATTATTATTTGCTATAGCTGAGCAACTTTTGCATGTATCCATGTAAAACTTTTTGAAGGTAAATTTTAATTGTGTATGATGTACAGGGTGTTTATAATTAAAGTTCCACTTTTGAATGGCCATAAAATGAAAACTACTGAACAGAATGTTATCAAACTTGGTAATAATGTACAGGACATCATGGGATTTTATTTCCTGTGAAAAAAAAATTCAAAAACTCACCACCAACGGGAAATGGCACTGTCTGCAATATTGTTAAACGAAATAAGACA